GAACATAAAAGGTCGCGAAGGAACGGGATATTATATTTTTTATCATTATTAATATTATTCGGTAGATATCGTATCAATGAAGATACCAAACTTGTTCTACAAGCTTGCGCATCGCCAGCGAAACATTTTAACACTCACAAACATGCCTCGACAAATCCTAGCTTCTCTCACGGTTCCAACTAATTGAACAGAGAAATATTGCCACAAAAACCCCCTGTTGTCTGAATCTATTTAGGTACGTATGGACCGAGTCGGTTGCCTACGGTTAGATGTTACCCTAGCTGCTACCTATACAATTGGTGGGCATCGATCAATACAGATCGTTGATGTAAGAAAAATCAGGCCAGCGCACGGTCGTATGGAGCTATGTAAGAAGGGGAAGAACTGTACAATGCAGTTAAATAAATTTCGTATTGATTACCATTAGAACGTCACTATTTGTTTATTATGCCAGGACGTAAGTTTTTTTTTGTTGGGGATCTGGATGAGGTGGGTCACATCAGGCAATGCTAAACAGCCATCGTACCGTTAGATCCAAGATTAGACAAATTCTTTGCATAAATCCAACCATCATGTTGTCACGCGTTGAGCGGACTCGCTCAAACTTTGCTTTTTCTCGCTCACCGTAAATAAGTGCGTATTGTTCATGGCTGCATAGGGCTCGCCGATAAATATTGTTAGTGTCTGTGAGCAAACTGCAGCGCCGAATACAAAGAGCGGACAAAGCCAACAAACAGGAAACTATTACAATAAGAAAAAATATGGAACGAAGTAAAGATTTAAAATTAACGATCTAGTTGGTATCCTTAAAAATGGTCGTTTTTTTTCTCATAATACGATTGGACACAAGCTGAGTAAATTGCTTTTTGAAATCTAATAATATTGTTTTTGTGAACGCGGCGCTGTTCAGGCGCAATTTCAGAGGAATTTACATAGAGGAGCTTGGCTATTGAGGTCCACATTTGGTTTCGAATGTGTTCTTGATACAATTCACCGAAACCCCATAGGAAATCATAGACAAGGTGGCGAGCTTGTCGTCCGCGAAGCTGTTAGCAGTCAAGCGTAAGAAGGGTTTTTTTCACCTACCGACCCAAAGGTATTTAGTTCTGACCCCATAACCCGCAGAGGGATTTATGCTGTCGGGCTACGATTAGGCCCAGGTGCCTTCCCGGATCATGGCAGGCACCTGTCTGCTGTCGTTAAGTCTCTTTGGCTAACAACGCTCACTTAAGAGTTGCAATGGCAAAGTCGAGACAGAATTATTCCAAAACCACCTCGCGCACTCCTAACTCCTGACGTTGGAGTCACTCCATCCCCCCCCCCCCCGCCGTACATTCCCCTTTATCGTCTGCACTCATATCCACTTCAGCTTGCCTCCTTTAGATCCGCAATGTTCAGCAGTGCCATTTGGCTGTGAAGTCTGAATTTTAACGCTCGGCTGCTAGCGTCGACATATCGGGTAAGCCCCGCAGTCACCAGGCTTTCGACACCGAAGTCGAGTCTAACGCCATCGAAGTCGTAGAAACCTGGAATCGCTAAACGCGGTCGAGCCTTTCGTCAAGAAAATCGAGCTCAACTCATTCTTAGACTGAGACTTCTTTGGCAGAACAAAGCAGTAGAAACCGACATTAATAGAGCTGTCAGTGCTCTCATTGCACATCAAACTCTACGCCGAGATTTGCTTGGATCACATTTATGCTATTCGGTATAGTGTATAATAAAGAGTAATGTTATAGGCGAACTTGTGTCCGCGCTGTCGCCATATTCACTTCATAGCCGTTGTGTGCGAAAAATTAGATAAGCAGAACATCTTACCTCAGTATCATATGCAATCACACGCGAAGTTTCGAGGCCAACGAGTATGATGCAGGTGCGAGAGCCGCTCGCAGCATGCTCCGCAAGAGAGAGCAATGTAATCTTTACAAATATCGACAGGTACTTTATTCGTTCATGCGGATTCTAGTCCGATAGGATTTTCCTGTCTGAGTATCATTGACATCTCGAATTCGTTAATAGGCTGAATACTCCACAGCTTGTGCAGTCACGACTTGCAGGTCGATGTCCTTGGATGACCTGACGCACAATCATTGTGCTTCAGAAAAATTTCCCTTATCGGTAAAAAAAGGTTTATGCATTCGTTTGTATGTGACGCCTTTCGTGAGCATCATGGCCTAAGTTTAGAACTGAAGAGTTACTGCGCTTTCAGACGAGGTCATTCTCATTGGTGTTGCCCTGTCCCTGCGCTTTTGATCGCCTAGCAATTGTAGGGTTTATTTATTGGCCACTTAACCTATGTTGTTTGACTCTCTATCAGCAAAACGAACGGTTGAAAAAGCTCAGAGAAAACGTGGTTTATCCATTGTATCAGAACGAAAACGTTTTCATGTGAAACCAGCCTGCGCTTGGAGTGCTGCGCTGTGGTAAAGGGGCGTCGCCCTTTGTTAAGCTGACGAGGACGATGTAGATAAAGTTAACTCTGAGCAGTTAAATTATATGGCAAGAGTATACGTCAAGAATGTATCATATCTTCAAGGCCGGGTGATTCGCTACTGTTCTAAGAATCTTTGAGGCCAGGTCGAAATTAAACAAAGGCGTTGATATTTGGATACTGGACCAGAATAAAAAGTCAGAGGAAGAAACGTGTAAGGCGTAGTTAGATTCATATCTGATTAGGTCCTACACGTTTTTACGGGTGACTGTATGTGTGTCGGCATTCCTAAACGTTGATTTTCGACTATCCGAGTAGAATAGGCCGTTTAACTGTCAAGAGTCTATGGACAATACTTTAGTAGTCATGTTGTGGTAGCATTGCAGTAATGTCTTTCCATCCTATGGTATATCTTTACGGTGAAATACATAGAGGCATAAAAGTAGAAAATTCTAGATTGATTATCGAAGTATCCGGTATGATAGTATTATAGCCGAGGCACTTGATCCGCATTTGCCGAACTTGGCTGGGTTTTGGGTTCGGTCCCATTATCTTATGATAGCAAGATAATGTTTCACCACCGACTCAACGCCTAGGGTTTTCAGAAAAACCTGGATAAGACCTAGAGAAACATTCGTGCGGTGCAAGTCAAACATGTGTATAAGTGATCGATTACTGATTGTTTCGTGTTCGCGGTCCTTCAGGAGGTACGTCGAGGCGAATTCTCGGAACATTTCGTCAACTTTCGACGTCTGTCCGTGACCTAGGCGAGGACTAATGGTTATTACGGGCTAAAAGTATAGAAATTTACCTGTGAGCACCTGCAGAAAATCCTTACTGCTTTCTGTGATCCAGAAGGGTAACTCTTTTCCTGATGTCGAACGCTGCTTTAGGCCTCTGTAGAGCTGGCCTCGAGATGGAATATTTTTCAAAACAAATAAACATTACGCGTCCATAACATTTAATTGACATAATGAAATAATAATGCAGTTACCTAATGTCAATATGGAGAGGACTAACCGTGATGTTGTACCATCTAACATTGAATCGCATAGGCCAGTAATAATCCAAGTCAACAGGGGTATAATAATTCTCCACAAATCCGCCAGGTAACGCCAAACATAGGTTTGCAATATATTATATAGTTATGCGATATGGCGCTACGGCCGTGTTGGAGCAGTTAGGCCTTTTTAAATGATTAAGAGTTTAAGTAGCTCACCCAGACTAGGTAGAGCTGGTACCGAGGATCCCTGCGCCTACTAAAACCATTCCCCTTTTTAAACATCATCCTCTATCGACTCAGATATTCAATTTTCTGTGCTATGAACCTTAACGAACGTGGTAGTGTGTCGGACCTCACCGAAAAGGCTTACATAAAGTAGTGCTTCGCTTAAAAGTGGATTTATATTCACAAGATTGCACACGGATGCGATGAGAGTCTTTCTCAGTACGAGCCGTTGGATGTAGTCTAACCCAGGGGGCACTCGACTGACGGTAGGAGGTGGGCCCGATCTAGGGTGGAACTACGTGTTTGTTAGCCGACAAGTGGGTAGCTCATGGAATAAGCAATGATCTGGTGCCCGGATACCTACTTGTTCCAGCCCAGAGCAGTAAAAAAAACATTATAGCGTATGCAAAAATAGACGCCCTATGTGAGCTTACACATGGACCTGTTACAATTACGTTAGACAACAGCGCGATGCCATCCTCCATGACGTTACTCTAGTCTGAATCGAGCGCTATACCGTGATGTCAGTAGAGATAGGGCAATTGGTTGGCTATTGTAAATGTCTACTGTGTTCGCGAATGCGCGGCCTTTGACAGGCTTTGATACCTACGTGAGCAGGAAGCAAGCTGAGCAAACAGCGACGACGATGATGGGTGGGGCTATGTACGGCAGTGTTGCGAGATACCGTCAGATCTGGGGGGTTGCGACACTAAACTAAATCGAACTGAAAATGGTGCTTTACATTTATAGTTTCGAAAACTAAGCCAATCGCTAGATCAATGCGTGATCATAACGCTATGCTCCTTTGCGGTAAGTTATTGAGAAGACTGCCCTTATTTCTTATAGAATACTAGCAACTCATATAAATTATATAATCAACTTGATCATAATTAATCAAGCTGTTGTGTTTATTGCTTCTGCTACGTAGATACGCCGATCTTTGAAATCACCAATATACTGTATTAGATCAAATAGGACGAAAATGAGCTCGTACCAGCTCTTATATCTTGTTCTAAAGCACATCTGTACAGCGCAAAAATGGTATCTTCTCACCAACAAGCGAAGAAAGGTGCCCCGAATCAACCGCAAGACGCGCGCCTGCGTCCAGTATCGGAACGCTAGCAGCTACGAGCGGTGACGTTGAGCTGAAGTGTGACAGCAGATCCCATAGGCTAAATCCCTGCCACTCGTTTCTAATTTAACTATTAATTAGAGGCATGCCGAGCGCGTTTTACAGCCCAGTAGTACGATCTCAATACTTATTCCATATAGAATACTTATGACGATAAATTTTAATTTTTGTTTTTCTGTGGATTTTTTTTTTATGTCTATGTGGCATTACAGTTACGAATGGACAGCCAGAGGAATCCATAGAGGTAGCTGGCATAAGAAACTGGAAATCGCCGACGGATTTCGCTTGTGGTATAGCTACAACGTTATATGAGTGCAATCCACTAACGCACGAAAATACCGGCGAACCGATAGCTGACGCGTTCGGCCTCGTTGTCCGCGAAAATTCGGCGATTCTAGCTATTGCTGATGGGGTAAATTGGGGTGAAAAGAGCTGTCTTGCCGCCCAGTGTGCGATTCATGGCTGCATTGACTATCTTAACAAGTAAGTTTTATTTGTAGAAGTCTAAGCATTGCTGCTTACGGGTTTGTGTATTGAAAAGTACCGTTAAAAAAATTTTGATTTGGACTGTGCCTATACGAAGTTACGAGACAACCAAAAATTTGTCAAGTTTATTAATGCAATCTTATTATCATAATTGTGATTGGTGTGATGGTGCAAGGGAAAAATAATCGTTCAGAGGTAACTTGACGTTGACAGCCAATATCGGCACCAAGTTGCAACATTGTTCCGGTTGCTCTATACATGCACATGTAGCAACTGGAGGATGTTGCAAATTCAACCATCCAGCTCTGGAACTTTATCACCAGAAAAAAAACAACTCAAGCTCCTTCACGAAGGAAATTACGGAGTGTCTTAAGGTTGATCAGTCTTCGTACTCTATTTAACAAGATTATGAAGGATCAAGAATAGATGATAGAATTCGTTTCCTACCTAAATAAAATTCTAAGCTCTTTTATACCGACTTTTCGTGGACCACGTTCAGCTACGCGTATGCGTATGGGCTACGCTTGTGTATAATCTAGGCTTCAATACGGGTATAATCCTATCCTAGAAAGATTTCGATTAACGGTAACAGAGCAAATCGTCAAAGTTGTGTTAAACAGATTAAGCTCCATTAAACAGCGTGTTCTCTACGAAACACGAGTAGTTACTTCCAGGGGTCTCTTTTTTCAGTAACAACTTTGTCATAACCATAGTATTCTACAGTCGCGGCGGACAATGAAAGCTAAGTAATCAAATGGTTTGTCTGTAAATAAATAAATAAATAAATAAAATTTTTCTGAAGCGTTTCTAGATATATCACAACTTAAAACGATGTTTTGTAGTCAATTGTTCCCTACCATGATGGAGCCATTTTGGAGAGCCCCTGAAACAAGATAAGGTTACTTTTTAATCAATCAAGTGAATCATCTATTGCGAGTCTGGCCGGGCATATCGCGCAACGATGAACATGGCAGGCCTGTTAATAGGAGAAAATGAAAATGGCGTCTAGAACAAGTATGGAGACTTGGTGGAATGGTCTGTTTGTTTTTCCACGAGTACGTTACACGTTATTCGCACGTTACAGAACAGCAAACTTCTATATCTGGAGTATGCTTCTATGGCACAACAGCAAACTGCCCTAAAGTTGTACCTATTTGAAGTACATTGGAATAATCAAAAACTGGGCCTGATATCTTGTCCACAGCTAAAGTTAGTCACGAGCCCAGTTCTTTGTCACGTAACTGCTTACCGAGTGGCTCCCTTTATCCTTTAGTAAATTGACTACCTTAACAAATCAACAGCAATAAATAGTGCTTCTTCGTCTATTTAGTATTTAGAAGAAGTATTACCGTTCCAAATGGGACGACAACCCCTCCCTCATAGATTGACGTATATCTAAGCCAATATATGAAAAATGTCAGATCTACCTTCGGTCGGACGGGGATTCCAGGAAGTGGATTGATCATCAAGAAAAGGGAAGCTATACAATCTGTGTATCCGTGCTGATGTCATGCATTACTTCTCGTACAGAAGAAGTCTTAATTTGTTGAGTACAGGTGGGCGTTGCCGGAGGGTTTAAAGAACGGCGACTGATGCAGTTGCGATATCCCATAGGGCAACATAGAAAAGCCATAGTGGCTCATTCTTACAATAAACTAGTTGGTTTGCTTGAGATGACAAAGAAAAACTGTTGTGAAACTTTTTTTTTTTGTTTTGTTTATTTATTTCAACATAATTGTTAGTTCCGAAAGCAGCGCGGTGCGAAGGCGACCATTTTGCTGTGAACACAGTAACTGTTGATTTTCAAGCCCAATTTGGAAATATGCAAAACTTCTATTTTTCTAGTAGATATCTTAAATATTTCATGGGAAAATGTTAGACTGTTGAATAAGGCACTGATTTCAATCGCTTAGCGACAACGACGTGTAGTAAAGCAACTGTATCTTATGTGTCTTAGAAAAAAAAATGAGCATCTATCTTGAGTAATCTTTTGGGCCCTAATAACGTATCTACAATGTCCCCTTTATTTATATTAAATGCAATTTGTCTAGATAGGGCAAATATTACGTCTGCTTTCCCATCGAAACTACTGAGACAACTGATCAGTGCTAAACTAAACATAAAGTTGTAATAAGCTGCCTGTTGTTCTTGTCCACGCGTAGACGCCCAGACTATTATACAAATAACGTCATGTGTTTTAGCGAATATGGGCAAACCCTTTCCCTGTTTCATGCCAAAATATGTACAGTGTGCCGTTTTCAACATGTACTTACCTATCCTTTGAATCGATATTATTGCCGGTGTTTTCTATGGTATATCTACATAGCTTTTTGTCGTTCCATATCGCCTGGGACCGGGCCAAAATAAGTCTGCGCGGCTAAACAAGCGTCGCAAGTGGTCGAGCCGGCCTGTTTCGCGGGTCATCTACCTGCCCAACTTTGTATGCGGTCGAATAGAACGATACTTTCTGTCAAAGGACAAGGTCGCTAAACATTTCCGTCCCGAATCGGTACTTCCGCTCCGGAGGAACGGTGCCGAGTCCGCATTAGGGCCCCTTTGTCTCTGCGGCTGTGTTTTAGATGATATAGGCCTATAGACCAACTTGGACAAGATTGATGTCTGCACTTCTTGGATTTCCACTACTTCTACTTCGGAATAACATTTAGCGTAGAGTATTATTTTTTATTTTTGCCCTTGCTTTGCTGCGCCTACAAGGTTCTTCGCTGATCGGTTTCGTTAAGCATTTTCAGGCCCTCAGATATTACAATACACGACTCCCATGCATTGTTCTCCGTGCGTTGCCTGCCACTCTAGGAAACTGTCGGCCTATGCGCCCGCCCGTACCACTTCTCATAAGATTTACTTCAGCGTCGCATCTGTAATGTAGGAGATTTTGTACACATCGCAAACGACGTATGTCCTTCTCTCAATATCCTAGTCTGCATATTCTGACATGTACGTTTGTCTGGTTCAGTATGCCTCTATAATTCTGACTCATCTCGTTATTGTTTGAGTACGTAAAATGGTTTGCCTTGCATAATTAGAGCTGCGTTTTCATAAGTGTGAAATGGCTCTAAGCAACACATTTTTCTCTAACTCTATCATCTGTTTGGTAAACGTTCGATGTCCATCGATGTTTTTCTATATTTTTCGATGCGTTCTATACGACTTGACGAGTGGGCGGCCCTTGTCTGGTTTTTCTGTTTGAATCTAAACGGACAAACAAATTTCTTCTCCGATAAGACCAAAGCAATAGCGGCGTCAGCGTACACGCGTTATTTCGGTAATCGCGACACGACATCAAACGGCTCTGACCGATTCTCTAACGACGATTCTTGCACAAAAACAACGAACCGGCTGACGGAAGAGACGCTGGCTCTAGGAATGCCGCCGGGACCGTCTACTGCGGCATTCCTGGTGCGGCATTGCCAATAGCTCAATGATGTATATCAATGCTAAATCTGGTGGAGAGCCGAAAATGGCCGAAGTTTCTCTCATTTCGCGAACGGCTGGTCTCACAAATACCAACGAGAAAATAGCCGATCGGCTAGCAGCGAAGGCACCCTGGGGGCGCTGCTGTAGCACAGTGTTACGGGCTACGGGATAAACAGAACAGAAAATAAAAGAGCCGATAACAATAGATACAACAACGACAACAACCTAATCTGAACGGTAGCGAAAGGAGTAATAATAATAACACAGGAAAATAGCGGAGGCCGGCCAATCCGTCGTGAGGCGCAGCGCTTGGAAACACATAGCAAAGAACATGTCAAGTCCAGGAGTGAATCTTACCTGCTAAACTTTCTTTTCGTGTTCAACGGGACGCGTCTCGCATTTATGGTTTTAATGTACATTTGGTTACAACGCGGACCTGTGCTGGGACAACGACGCTGAGCGGGTCGGACCGCGACTTGTGGACCGGGGACCGACCGTTTTTATTGCTAGTGTAATTAGTTAGTTATTAATAAACCCACTTATTAATAAAGTGGGTATTGTGTTTGCTTTCTTTTTTGCTACGAATAAAATAATTGTTTCATATCGTGACGTGTTAGTAGTCGAGGGTATGAATGTATAAGCCGGAAAATGTGGATTCTAAACGGCCACATAGATGTTCGCAGCTTTCCAGCGTTATTAATTAGCTTTATGTAGCTGACCTGTTGGCCAACATAAACGGATCGTCAGTGTGTATTTTTCTTGTAGAATAGCGGAAATAGGGGTTGCTACCTTTATTTTGTTGCGACGACTTCACCTGAATTTCCTATGTAGCATTGGCTGGTGGTTTACTCAGGGGTTCGGAATATAGTAAAGTTGTCGAGGACTGAACCGTTAATAGCAGCAAGCTACACTTGGTGAAAACTGGGTTTCTTTAGTGACTGGGCCAGTAGCCCGGGGTAGCAACCTGGTGAGAGGACTTCGACCAACTGATGAAAATCATCTTGTCATGATGATACCATTCTTCGCTTAATTCTATTGCGTCACTGTTTTCATCCCTTTCGGTCGATGTGGGAAACGGAGTCACTGCCTGTTGAACTCTGTCAGTGCAGGTCACTTTTTTTCTGCCAAGAAGTAAGAGTAGTCGGCTAGCTCAAAGGAAAGGTACACATTTGTAGAAACTGGCATCTCAACAAGCACGGCCAAAAGCCAAAAAGGGTTCGAGGGTCTAAGGCAGTGATAGAGTTATATACACAGAGATGTTTTATATACGAAAGATCAATGTCGACCACTAATGGTCAGCGTCCGTCATAGGAGAACGAAACGTTTTTAGAGATACTAGTTTTAGGTATGGTGGTGTGAAGATGTTCGCTGTCGAGGAAACGCGCGCCAGAACCCGACGAGCTCAAATCAATCATGACGCTCCTAGTTTGGCGATCAGCAGGAAGTTTTCCAATGAAAAAAAAAATTAGTGTTTTTTTCTTTCCCTGGACCAACAGGCTTGGAACATGTAGTATACTTCGTCTGCTTGAGGAAGCCGTCGCACAAAGGACCTCTATTAGCGGGCCACCTTTATTAAAGGCTTTATTAAAAGAAGTTCGAGATATCTTTTGAACTCGCTCCATACAGACAGACAGAGTTGGCTCTTCTTATGAACAATGGGTCGTTTCATAGGTTAATATTCTATCAGACACCGGCTATCTTTTACAAGCTCTTTGCCTTTTTTACCCCTGCGAACGGAAAATTTATCGCAAACGATGATTTCTCCAATAGTATCACGGTAAGGTTACTGATGAAGTGTTTGTAAATGTTTCTATGCGCGGCTATGCAATTTGTCGCTTCTATCTACCGCGACCACTATACTATGATTTTCCAAAGATATTAGTACATGTCCTTCTGTTCGAAGGGAGAAAAACGCCCTTCCTCAGATAACTCAGCAAACAAAGAAACTAAAAAAAAATGGAGTGTGTTATCTATATGTATATAAGAAAGAGCTACGCGGAGATGTCGTGAAGGAATGTGTAACGGAAATTCAATTTCAGTTGTATACAAAACTTCCTTCGATCGTCTTCTATACTCTGGGAGTGCTTAGGATTTCCTTAGCGATCGGAAGAATCTTAAGGAGTCGAAATAGGAGAGAGCTTTTAGCGAGTGTTCGTTCCTTTTTACGAATTATCCGCTTCAAATAACGAAACTGGAACCCATTGCTTATAGAGTGCGTTGTTCCTTGTCAATCGCCTACCGGTCGTGGGTTGGTACCAGATATTAGGTTTCTAGTATCCGCTCTCTAGTCTCTGTGAAGACAGACTGACCTGTTCGTATTGCAATGAATTCACTGGTCAGGGGCGGTTCTTCGAATGAAGCTTGGTGAGGAGTAGGTAATCGGTACGTGTGTTTTAACATATCGGTGAAACTACAAATTGGCGTTCTTTACATGACTTGATCTTTTTCCAAACACAAATGGTGTGCAGGACCGTTCTTGATCTGGCCATCATAAAAATGGGTTGCAGTGCATCAGCAGTGTTAATAATACCTACAGGTGGCTGTATGCTTTAAGCCATAATAGCGTGCAATATGTTTGACTACTTAGGTATCAGTCCGCTAATGTAAATGTTAGCGGAGCCATGATTGAACGATTGTTCTACAGCAGAAGATTTCTCATAGCGAACGTAACTCCCAAGTTAGCGCTTGAATGAAGATGTCGATTACCCTATTCCGAAGCAAGGCAGAATGTCTGCGTTCAAAAACATGATTTCGGTGTTGAAATGGGTTATATTCTGCATTTGTGTGATGTAAAATTTCGGTATCGTGCAGGCGATTTGAACCGTTACTTTTGCTTGTAACATATTATCCTTTTTTTTGTTTCGTGTTCTATATGTTAACTTTTTAACAGAAATTTACGTACGCTTCCGTCATTGAACCTAACAATGGTTTGATAGTCTTTTTCAAATAATGGCGCCAGCAATCGACCCTACAACCTTGTGTCGAGAAGGGTTCGTCCCCATGGACAAAAATCAAAGAGGTAAATGATTAGTACTGAGAAAGCGACGGTGGAACAGATTTAGATGCGGATGTATGCACGGATGATGATCACGGCACGATACCCGCCGGTGTAACTTTTCAATGAGAACACAATCGATTTAGTGAACCCGTGTTCAATTTCTGCCGGTCAACACGCTTTTCGGTAGGTATTCGAGAAGCAGAGACCACTAATCGATATTTAGTTACATAATTAGAGCTGCTAGAACATGTGTAAAGTGTGACGTTTGCAGCAGAAGGATCGAATTATGTGAAGTTACATATTTTAGATACTTGCTGCTCGACCATGAAAATGGTGCTGGTAGTGGGGCCTCTTCTAACCTTGGGCCACATTATACATTCGGCCGGGCTTGACGTAAACAGAAGCCGAGAGACCAGATGAAGGGTTGCTTGGCTGGCCCCTCATCTACTTGCGATACATCTTGGGATATTTTAGATTTAGGATGACTCGAAAACGGGATGCTGATGTAACACTAGTGCCACCACAAGTCTCCCGGTCCACTTCGGAAGAGTAACAATAATGTCCTGTTTTGCATCGCTTTTTATGTGTGCATGTGAAAGGTACCCGTACCTCTAGTAACAACTGTTCGTAGAGACGCTTCATTGGCCGTACCTCGTATTTTGGGCAAATACGGAACGAGGTTTTTTCATTTCGATTTATACATCCGAGTCAAAGTCTGCAAACGTACAGGGTTTTTGTCAAGCCATTGGTCCGCTGTGACCAAAAGGCCGTGTTCGACAATACCTGCAAGGTACGTATGCACATTGTTCCGACATTACCCTGTCCCTCAACGAATTATGCGACGTCTCACTTTATATTTCGTGTGTATATCAATTTCGATGAAAATTTTCCTTGCGGTTGCCTAATCCGATTGGACAAACTAGATGGCACCGCTGTTTCTATACAGAAGCGGTTGAACCACGCAGCTATTGTTCATCTGCAGGTCTAGTTCGAAGGCAGTTGTTTCTTTGCGAGATATTTGTAGTTTGTTTGTTTCGAATAATGTAGTGTAAAACTTAATCACCACAAGTCAAAAACAGCGTGAACGGTACTTTAACTAGGTTTAACCGTTGTATAGGTGTACGTTTTGGGCTTTTCTGTAGCCCATGTTGAACACATGTCGAGAAAGTTTTCGGAGAAAAAAGAACGTATTCTATATTCCATTAGCTTGTTTCGCACGCTTACGCTGCTGTCTGAGTATATTCATGACAGATCTGTCAATCCGATAAACTCCACCTACTAATGAAAGTACGTCCGCTCTCAGCAGCATGAGTTTGCTAATAATCGAAATTCAAGTTCTGTCCTGTCAAGATTTGGCAACTTGTATATACGTGAGCTATACAATCACTCGCACAAAACTCGTCCATCGGCGTGGCATTCACGTAGAGGTCGTAGCTGCACAATTGAAGCTCGTGTACACCCGTCTGGCAGGCTGTGCACAGATTCGTAACCATTTGCAATTATATATACTGCTAAGCCTGCTTTCTCAAGCCTGATCATGCGACGGATCAGTACGACGTGCGACGGATCAGTACGACGTCAAGTCGGCCCAGTGGTCGGCCAGTGGTAACGCTGTCAGGCCACCAAGTACGAATCAATATCAGAGGGAAATTTAGCGCGTTACTCATATCAGTCCGTTTCACCTTTCGTGAAAACTATTGTTTGTTCGTGAAAACTATTAATTGTTCCTATCAATTTTGTCATTTCATTGCTACCCAACTTGAGGCTGGCCATATTGCTTAGCCTACACTGCGCGCAGTAACATTAGATGACTATTACGGTGAGCGCCAACGGTGGCTATAAGCCGCGTACGGTGGCCGAGGACATCCCTGAGGTCAGCGACTTTCGCGTTCGCACTGTTGCACCGAACTGGGTTGGGTGGATCCCTTAAGCAGAGCTGGGTGAGTTCACGGCGACATAGACAGTAGCAAGGGCCATAGTAGCGTCATTCGCTACGTTCAACTGAACAAATATACACCCGGCGGTTTTCTGCTCCCAGCGGCAACGAAGGGACGATTGAACACGACCGCGTCGATGTCGGACCAGATGCGGAATTTAGCGTCGGTGGCTCCAGTCGCTGCCGGCTTCAGCTCTCCGATGCTGCCTTCCTTACACTTCACAATGTTATAGCTAGCGTAACGTTAACAGGATGCAAGCCGAGGCTCGACAGTTCCAGGTTGAAGGTGGTAAGCTTGCGCAATGCTCCCTGTATCCTCGTTTACGAAACGACAGTATCATTGGCTGGTTTTTATGGCATTACAACAGATTCGGCGTTCACACCCATTCCAGACTGTGCTTATTGCAGCGACGTTGGCACTATAACAGATGCTCTAGCCTGAACAGGACTCGTTCTTACTGGTGTTGTTGTAGTGGTAGCAATAGCGGCAATACACGAAACGTAGGGTTGTGTTGTTGTTAACGCTGGACAGCACTTGAAGGTCGGCTGTCGGATCAGCGAATCGTACTATATGATAAGCGTAGCGAAAAGTTTCGCTTAGTGTAAAAAGTAAGAAATACTAGGGGGCAATAGGCTGCGTATGTATAAATTTTGACCGTTTCTTATTGGACCTACTTGGAGACGTACCATTGTAGCACTGTAGTGCTAAAATAGTAGGACAAATTTATCCTGTAACGCGACCGCTCATTAATCGAGATCCTGCTACAACTAGTATGTCCATATCTAAACTAGCGTCAGGAGTATGCCTCTTGTCAGGACACAATTGAGCGAATCATCGTGAATAGTAAGCAAATTCATATAGATAATGGTGTGTATAAGCAATATTCTTTGACTTTTTTTTTTTTTTTTTATAAATAATGTCAAGCCTATTGTTGACTTTTTTCACCCATTTGTATCTGCAGGCATACCGGTTCCGAAAAAGTTGAAAACAGAAAACAAATATGGGGCTGGTTTATATGAAACTATGAGGAAGAAGCGTTGTACGGCGTGTCTATAATATGTCGACGCCAATGACCCCGATCATTCAACTGCCTACTCTATGGGCTTAGAGTAGGAACATCTTGGATTCTTCTCGTTAGAAAATGTCGTCCGCTAGAAAACGGACAACCATTACCTGCTGCTTCAATGCGAGTGATCTCTTGAAATTTAGTAAAAATTTCAGTAGAAAAAAAAAATTTTTTTTTTTTCAGTAGAAAAAAGCAGTAGAAAAGCTAGTCAAACTATTGATCTACAGAAGTAAAATTTGCTCTAGCTCTCTAGCTAGCTCACTAGACTCTACCTAAGTCTGGTGAGAATTGACCGTCGTCCGCGACATTCTATTCAGCTTAAACAAACTCTTACGTGAGATGGATTCGTTAAGGGTACTACCTATTTAATATACCACGACAAGAACTTGCTCTAAAAAGTTGCGTCTCAATGATAATACGATCTGCCATGTTAACCAGAGGTGACAACATTTCGGCATTTTGTAATTGTATCCTTTTCCATTATAAGCTTTTTCCCATACTCTTTGCATAGCCCAAATGTCCCTATTTTCTCTCGAACGTTTCTTTTTAACAATGTGTGTTGTCGACCAAGCATTCGTTAGGGAGCTGGTCCACAACTGCGGTATGAAGATCGCCGTCAGTCTCGTTACGCGTGTTAAGATACGGCGCTATGACAATCTTGACCAACCAGTGCCGGCGAAATCTTGCCTGACGTTTCGAAGCAGGCTTACGAGGTAATGCAGCGTCCTAGACGACCCCCTTAAGCTATATCCACCTAACGTCTTACGCAGCTGCGCCTGCTTTTGACCTGTGTTTAAGATCAGGTCTTGACGGAAGTGCAAAGCGAGCCTTTAAAAAGCAGGTGAGGGCTTAGAATTTTCCCGGGGAAAGTAATCGGCCATTCCTTTGTATGTCTGCTTCCCAAGAGTTCCTCAGCTCGTCCTGTTGCAGCTCGAAGCGTTGCTCGGAAAAACTAGCGGGGTAGTCCTGGATTGCAAATCTTCGTTGCACGCTGAACTAAGCGTATCCTTGCTCACAAACACAGCTCATTCCTTAATGACATTGTCATAAAAAGCAAAAAAAAAAAAAAAAAATCATCCTAAAAGTGCAAATATTTTAAAAGGCCGTGGATATTGAAAAGACTACTAAGAGACGAAATGGGAAAATCTATTGAAACATATCCAATCTCGCGTACCGTTTACACGCGGTGAACACATCTTGTTTTGCAATGCGGTAGTCTTTAGAATTTTTTTTTAGTAGAATTTAGAATTTTTATTCTCTTAATGGAAAGTAGATCCGAACGACTTGGAAGACATTTTCTTTGTCAGTTGAATGCAGATTGAATTTTTTTAGGTCGCAACGGAAGCTTCTCGTATATAGGAATCGACAAATCGGGCCGTTACGGCCAACGGTACGCGGAGGATGCGGGGCAAAGGCAGGCGCAAAGGGGTTCAGGAAGACTGCTGGAGTTTTCCATCCTCGCGTTCATCTTTATTGTCGCTATAAGGAAACATCTGTACTCGATGTAACTTCTTCTAAGTCCTCTGCTGGGCCATACATTCTATATGATATATGAATATATATATATGAATGTATATATAATTTAGTTGCCTAATTTGTAAGCCGGAGTGGCCTGCAAATGTAGCTGGCTTCTTTGTTATAATATCGTAGCAAAAAAAGGCCTGAAAGTGACTTACTAGCTGATCCATTTCGAAATTTAGAAATACGAACGCATCGGCCCGCTTTCATACTACGTACAACACAAACGATGCTATCGGATGTGCAGTAGGACATGACCCATCGATCGCGCAGCCCAGAATTTGATAGGAATTGGCGATTCTTGTCACTTCGTTGCAATGAATAAATCTCGTTCTTGCAATTACAGAAGCGATTTGTCAATATATCCTAAGGAAAAAGACACGTGGGCCATAGCGGAAAGTTGGTACGTTGGGCTGCGCAAATCATAGCTCGGCCGAACGGCAACGGGTCGTAAAAAGCTTTAGAGGGCACGAGCGATATCGACGATCCAAGGAGTTGCGCAAGCGAAAAGCATGGTAGAGGTGCTTTTACACAGATGGGAAACGCGTTATAAGCAATTTAACATGAATGAGTAACAATATAATATCAGCTATGGATGGGAATAATATTGTTTCATTAGATATCTTTCTTTCACACAAATCTGATTTGTTTATTGAGTGGCTTCCAATATGTGTGTGAATGATGGCTGTTCTTGTTTACTAATTCTCATGTAGACTTTTTTGTTTGCTGGCAGTGAAATATTGTATCCATTTGATTACCAGCAAACGAACTCCTTTATCGGTCTCCAGATACGAATATGGCAATCGACAATAGTACCCACCATAGCTGAGGGTACTACCCAATAGCACCTCTCTCGGAGTGCCTTCGGCATTTTTAATATGAAAAATAAATCTCCCTCGACTCCCTGAGCTTGTCGACAACAAATCCGAGCAACTATCCGAGTAGATTATCGTGTAATAAAGCTTACTTAGGAATTTCGTATATTCGTACGTATTATCCTAGACCATTTTCGCAGCTCTTTGACAACCTGATGAATACATACGTCCTTATAAATGGTTTCCGCGCAAAAAAGCCTATTTCCCCTCTAGTTAAAATTGAAGAAGTCGACTTCTTTGTGTGTGGACAGGACTACACTGTAACTATCAGTGGACTCTTCGGGGCTAACTCTGGTTGCATTTAGTTACGTTTTTTTTGCACGAAAAAGCCTGTTCTTTTATGTAAAAAACTTTTTAGCTAGTAAATTTCTGGAGTGCATTGGTCGAGGCAATCGACGACAATCGACTCAGCCATGGCGATTCTATGCATACTGAATAAATCAATCCTTTAGGACGATTACATCGTTCTGAGCAAATTAGGAAGAGTAGCGATTTCACCTCCATCGGTAGCTGATATAGACGTTTTCTGGAATAGGAATCAAACTGTCTGCCATAGTTGTCCTGTCAGTACCGACTCTGGAATAGCAATCCAACCAGCGACGTACAAACTAGAAGTCTATCTATCGGTACAACTTCTTCGTTGGACGATTCTGCGTGACTATTGGCTCAACACATAGGGCTTTCACATTAATCAAGAGGAAGACGACTTTCTAACGTAAACGTAGAACCTTTTAGTTGAAGTTCAACTTTTGTACGTAGTAGTAAAAAGTATTTTTGTAGTAAAAAAACAAGGCCCAGTACAGCTATAGAAGGATCATGCGCACTGTGATCGGGTAATATTCCATCCTGATACATATCAGCCTGAATAAAACGTAGGTCGCACATAAACCTGAATTTTCAAAAAAATGCTACCCTCCTTGGAGTCCTGCGCTCAACCGGAAAGCCGCTAGCATTCTGTGAACGCTAGCATAACATACTTTTCAGTTAAGGACAACTGAAAAGGCGGTTTTAGTTTTCCTTTCCGTTACGACAATTAACCGCGTGCCATTGGATGGAATCTAGCTGTTATCGAATCCATTGGAAAAGAATGTCTGCCATTAACTATTATTTTCACTTTCTCGCATTGTATGCATGTACCTCAGAAACCACCTGACATCTCTACACCCAGTTCGACTGGCCGTCCGCACAACGGCTGCGTAGTCTGACGTTAAATTAATGAATAGTTGTCCAAGGAGACGGGATGATGCATCCTTTTATAACGCTTTGTACGGCTGTGATTCACTCTAGCTGGCGAACACAACTAAGAATTTGACCTGTCTTTCTATTGAGCTCGTGCAAACTTCGTCCTTCGTTTGGTCGGCCAGCCGGGCGGTGCACTGACTAGGAACGTCGATGTGACCTTCAAAAACCTCGTGGACGTGGTGGGAGCTAACCCAGGTCGACCATTGAGTCTGGGGAGCATGGGATAAAATTGGGCCTTTAGGGAATATAAACAAAGCACAGAGCGGAAGTTTGACGGTGGTTGGAATCTAGCAGCGCATTAGAAGTCTTAACGGAGGATAACGCCGCTTATTATAATGAGGCGGCTGACACCAAACAGGGAAACACGTGTCATTAGAGTAAGAACATACCCGTTACATAGCTTATTGTGCTTAACGGGTATTCATATGCAAATTGTACATATGTGCCATACGAGTGGCCGAGTGTGCGGTAATTGTATCGGACAACTTCTATTACATCCTTGTGCCTTAAATAGGACATAAAGTATGGCATTCAGCTCAATAATAAGTAGATATTGAAATAAAAAGAGTCACCACTTGCAGTTTATTGTGCTCAGGACATTTTGAAGACCGTTTTTATTGTCTCGCATTCTTAGATTGAACGAACGAGAGTTGAGCTTACTGTCGAAATTCGCAGTGACGGAACCAGTTACTCACGACAGGGTCTAAAAGGAGAGCGAAGTATCGAAAGTGTCCCATTGTACTGGTAGAAAGGCTGGCTTCGATAAGCTGCGCGCTCTCGCTGTCTGTGTAATATAATGCGTCTGGAGCGATGAAAATGCCGGTGGATCCGTATTCCAGAACAGACTTCATTCCTCTCCTTCGTTCCCTCCCCACGAAACGTTGATCATCCTGTACTAATTACTTGTTAGTATGGCATCGATGGCGATCGTTGGGATTACAGGAACCCTAATTAGCGGCAAAAGTATAAGCCGTATGACTTTTTAGTAGTGCTCTGGCCGAGAGTAAACGTTGCTATAGCAGTCGGATCGTGCTTGAGCATCATCGCATTCCCCAATGATGGCGGAGTTTCGGTTTGCCTCAAAGAGAGTTGCAGAGGCAGGCAGGTCTGCTGCGTGGACGAACCATCTTCGCCAGCATCGCCGTATATGACTTTCAAATGAATTGTTGAGTCTTTCGAAGTTACACGGAGTTTCCCGTGTGAGAGTGATAATGCACTGAGACAATACCTTTAGATGACAATACCTTTCAGATGTACTTTTGTACTTATACACTTTAGCACGAGTATACGTGAGTGTCAAAGCGTGGTGATAGATGACGCCAGAAGTTGGTCAGTAGATCTGCGACAAGCTGATGATCTGCGGGGATTGAGGCCGTTACCGTTTGCCACCTGATCAAGAAAATTGCAGATCTGTGTTCTAAACGGCGGATAGCAGTCGAAGTCGCAGTTGACTGGTTTTGAAAGCAGGCACTTCCCGACCCTCTGAAAATATCTGGACGGGGACTGAACGCTTGATGAAGACATGCCTATAATTTCGACCATACATATAGATGTATACGTACGTTGCACTGTGTGTACGCAGTAGTAGTAGTAATATAGAACTGCAAAATTGACGGGTTGCTACTCGAATATTGAGCTTTATGCTCTAGATTAGGACGTTAAATAACGCGTTTCAAGTTCGACGATCGGTACCTAAGCCGTTAGATACCGCACTAAACGGCTAACTTACAGCATAAAAAAGTTGAGCCGTAGATGCAATTTATTTATTATTATTACTGGGCAATTTATGGATCGGCACATACGTATCCCCATTGTTTGTTAATCTATCTTCTTGATAAATCCAGCTGAGCATTTGCATTCGGCATAGCACAATTGTTATTATTAATGGAGCAACAATTTTAGTTGTTTCTGGATTACTAAAAATTGATAGAGTTATTTCGATAGCATTATCCCGGCCTTCGTTGAAGTTCTGTAAAGCCCACGTGTTGTTTAGAGTCAATGAAACGTCAACCAAAAACGTTGAGGTTCGTCCTTTCTCTCAGGTATTTTCCTATTTTCTATTTCCTCTAGGGCATTGTTCGGTGAAGCTCACAGCGTGTCCTCGACCCTCGACGTGTTCGCCTGCCTTCTCCGCTCGTTTGAGGCAGCTCACCATCTCATCTTGCAAAAAAAGGGTCTCCTGACGACGCTCTGCGCCTGCGTCGTCTGTCCATTAGAGGGTGGACGATTCGCCGTTTGCGTCTGCAACGTTGGAGACTCGTTTGCCTACATCTTTAGCGAAAAACATGGAGTTCGAGAAGTTACACTGGGTATGCAATGTCAACGTAACAATAAGCTTGTTATTTTTGTTTGCTATTTGTCTTAACACTGACCTATGTTTCCGAAATCCATTTGATGTTGGGCTCTATTGTAACTTTGTAATGAGTTTTGTGCGATTCCAGCGCCAACCGGAAAACTTATCAATCAGAAGTGTTATTATAGTTTTCTAAGACTAGACTATCCTACGTTAATACCCGGTGGGGCCGATAAGCAAAATGAATCTTAATTTAAACTTACGAAAAAGTTAGTATAAAGGACTATTGAGAGTGACGGTTCCTATTAAACAAAGCTTTGATTCCAGGCTAATTGTGCGTTTTCGTAACTAGATAATTTCGTTCGGCAACGAAATACAGAGAGTCAGTTAAGTTGTTAGTAAATAACAACTGAGGTAGGATAGCTAGTGTAGGACATCTACGAGTAAACACATATGCGAACCCCATAATTCATTTCTAGTCTATTTTACGAGCACAGTATAAACACATTATCATATGCTGTTCTTGGGAGATGCGTGAACAGTAAACAAGCAAACGAGTGCAACGGTTTAGCGACTTCCGATATCAAAGGCGTAAAACGGTCGGCTGTTGTTGCCTGCCGGTCGCAGTTGTTCCTCGAAGCCCGAGGCGCGTTCGCTTACATTATCGATACGCAGGTTGTTCGGCAGCAACCAAGACATATCACGTTTTCTACAGCACGTCGTGGTACTAAAGGCGAGTTCCCGTTTACGTCACCTAGGCGTTACACGACCGTCAAGGCAGATTGAAATGAATCTTTCATGGCGTATTACTTTTACTGAGCTAACTTACATTCCTAAGATGCACGCCGATGCATCCTGACTCTTTTGAGTACCCAGTCTATAGAGTACGTTTCTATATGAACTCGTAATTGAACGCATTACCTGTGGACCATATCTATGACACGATGCTGTTCCAGGATAGCCGTTCGTTGTACGGTCTGCTCTAATCGATACCATCGTTATCTGTAGTTGAATTCATCAATATATTGCAACTGCTGTAACCATGAGCCATGTTGACAATATATTTAGCATTGTAACCACACGAGCTTTTCGCGATTCAACAACTATGCACTCGTTTTCGATTACATTAGAAGATTGTAATATTGTTGGGTACTTCAGTCGACCAGCTTCCGCTTCTGTCTATTCTCCCAGTAAGCGAATATTGTTGGGTACTTCAGTCGACCAGCTTCCGCTTCTGTCTATTCTCCCAGTAAGCGGGACGCACCTCCTGATATCCTGTCATTGGCTAAACCGATTTAATCAAAATAACGCTTGCGTCAGCCGGAACTCCTGTGCTAGGTAATTGTTAACAAGGCTATCGTCCAGCTGACCTCTGTCATCGTGTCCGAATTACCACGAATGGCTACCAAATGGTGAAAAAAACCAGACCAAATTCCAAGTGCTGTTAACGAGTGGAAAAAGGCAGGGTTGAAGTGGAAATTGGCCACAAGGGGTTGGCAAGGAGGATTCTAACCGCCTTAAGCTGATCGTTCTAGGGGCAAATCGGGATCAGGTCGCCAACGAGTAAAGCGCTGATAGAAGTATGTTAATGAGAAATTGGGTTAACTGCATTAAACAGCGACAAAAACTTCATTCAAACAACAACGACAAAAGCTATTCAGCTCAGCGTTTGTGGGAACCATCCGCTACAAGCCAACTGGGTGCTCCCGTTCGAAGCCCCTCCTAACAGAAACCACTTTTTTTTTTTGAATTCCCTATGGCACTGGGCGCGGTCACTTGCGAACAGGCTTATATGGGTAAAGGTGGCGTTTCTTCTGGCATAGTCACTGAGCTGAAGGCTGAGTTCGAAGTACACTTCACTGCACGAGAATAAAACGGACTTCATAATATTAATGAGCCAACTAATTTTTTAAAGGAGATTAAGATGAAAAATGCTAAGATACGTTTACTTATTATATTCAAACCTAGCAATCGGACGCGCCTACATGTTCAGTCAATCCTCTGGTATGCTTGTATTCCGAAAATAGCAGCTACTGTTTTCAAGTGGAAAATAAGGCTTCGCCTTATTATAAGGAATTTTACTTGATCGTTATCATCGGATCTTCGTAAAAAAATTGGCTATTTAAATAGCACAGAATCGAATCGAAGTGAGAATTAACAGATATGGAACTTTAAATTATTTATGCTGGACATGGCCAAAATGGAGATGTGCGTGGTCCTACCTTCTGTCGACGATGATGTACGTGATTCACGGTCAGCCGTGGCATGACATCTGTTAGACCGTTTAATTTTGTTGTAGGTGACTGCAAGCAACTGATCAAAGGTTCTATGAATTTCACGTAATTCGGTATTTTTCTCGATTATTTTTCAATGTGTTTGCGTACAAATCGGCGATTATCTAGGCTCAAATATTAATGCAGACATGCTTTAGGCCTCTTGACTAGCAAAAAAACGCCGATAAATGAAATCTTGATTCATTCTTCTGCCTACTGGTTTCAGAGTGTCCTCATTGAGTCTGTATTCTGACAGGTCCTTTGGCAATACTAAACAGCTCTATTCAGGCCTATTGAATTCAAGTGAATTCGATAGGAACTCTCGATAATAACCTCTTGCCAAGTCATAGTTGTGTAAATGTTACATTGTGCCTGTTGTAATGGTTAATACAAATAAAAAAAGTACACAGTTTAACCTGACTACGTTTTCAAGTTTATGTTAGCAAAGGATGAGCTTTCTTTGTCTACAAAAGAGTGAGTAAAAATATTTTTTAATTGTTTTTTTTTCGCGACCTTCGTTCTTTTTAATTTAAGATTTGTATTGACTAAGAAGCAGTATCACTTCATTAGCATAAACGCCATATACCCGAGTAGTACATTTTTTCAGATTCACTTTATATAGTTTCAGATATTCTGGTTCTTTACGCTATCGTTTGCCCTCGCTTTTCGTTTGCAATTATCTTCAGGATCTCATGATATCTATTCTATGCGCGATATGCGGGACGCTCTTGGGGCATTGGGTCCAGTTGATGGAGAAAATCCCGAGTTGAATAACCTCACGTTATCGTTAAGTCTCGCCGAAGAAGGTGATGTTATTTTTCTGACGTCGGACGGCATCTCAGACAACTTTGACCCCGTCGTTGGCAAGTTCGCGCTGGCGAAAAAGGCGCCTCCTGGCGGTTCAGAGGAGAGAACTGTGTCAGCCGGAGGAGCCAGTGGAACAGAACGAGGCGGCAGTGGCCGAGGAGAACGGGAACGCACCTTGAACCACCGGAGTGGTGCCGGCGCCAGCGTGAAACGCTCGGCCAGCCACAGGATCGCATCGTCCAACGAGCGGGTTAGTATTAGGGGAAACTCGTGTTGGACACGACAAGCAGTTAAAACGTCAAGTTTAAGGACTATGGCCTTGCCTTGTGGGTAAGCAGAGCAAAAAGCCCGTAGAAGATAACTTGAGATAGAGCGGACGCTAACGCAGCGTCTCACCGGGCTAGATCTTTAAAAGGCACTTTGGGTGGACGAATAGAGCTTCATTAAACTAACCCAATAGATCTATTCACTTGTCTGCCCGCTTTATGTTAGCGCCGTTGTGAGAGATGTTTTGTTTAAACAGAGCGAATAGGCTGGTGATCTGAGCCTATGCGCATGACGCTTGGGCCGAAAAGGCAGATTTGAAAAATTTCCCAAGCAGTTAGGCATGGCTGGGTTAAGATGCTTGATTTTGTTCTTTTCTGGTAATGTCTAACCACCAAATTTTACCGGTCCGTGCCGTCGAGTCAAAAATATCGTAGGTTTAACATACTACTGTTTTGTTCCGATGTTTTTTTCTTTCTATTCGTCTGATTTTACTACAAACACTAGAATTCCCTGCCAATTGTGGAGGCTCATCAGCGGCACGCTCTCACCCTACTCCGCATGGAAGACCTGTTGCGACACGGTGTCGGTGGTCAAGAACAGGAAAGAAGTGCCACGGATGCCCGACAGGTAATACCCACTTAATCGGGTATCTGATAAGCAAGCAGGCATCTACAAAAAGCCGATATCAAACTGCTATCGTTTGCCTTCGTACCAAATATCTATAAGTAACGCCATTTAGTATAACGCGTAAATATCAGTGCACTTAGAAGCTAACCGATAATGGGCCAAACGCTGTAGAGTGAGTCAGGCCAAAGTGTGACGATTCCTTGTAGTGCAAATGTCTGATGCCGATTGCCACGCTAGAGAGGGCAGTGCATCTGGAATCAAACTGAATCTTTTGCAACTAACGGTCGAAAGATTGACCCAGCGTTATGCATACGTAGGCACACGAACACACATCGCAAACAGGTCAAATATTATTGTTATCTAAAACTGCCACTTATTATTAAATACTAACTCACACACATCTACTTCAACAATCAAAATCGAAGGCATCTTTTTCGACAGTGATGTTATCAAAAAGTAGGCGTGATCTACGTTGGTTTCCCATAAAGGGCTCATTGGACTTGCTAGCCTACAAGCTTTCATGATCTGTCCCTAACGGGTCTATTAAACCTGATATGACCGATATTATTATGCATTTGGCCGATGCCTCTTTGTTCAGGGAAGGTTTCTCTTCACCCTTTTTTGTCCAACACATCTCGAACAATATTTCGTTCTTCGACCCCAACATCTAGTTTTTGTCGTAGAATCGCATCTTACGATAGCCCTTAATGCTCTGTAGACTGGGAAATACATTGACTACGTCAAGCAGGTTACCCAGTTACGCAGAGAAGAATTTAACTAACCGCAGAGGCCCGGGAGCCTCTACACACGTAAACAACGCTGTCTCTGCTACAGTTCAGCACCGATGATAGATAGCATCCTCGCCACTGATGACCTAGTTTGTAGGCTGTGGCAGCCCTGATTCAGGTCGAGACGATGGATTTGGTAGCAGCGCAGAATCGTACGACTTCGATGTGTGCATCAACAGCAACGAAACGAGTAATTCGTGGGCGCAATATGTCGAGCACGAACTAGCTATTGACCGGACTGTATGGCCGTGCGGCGGGACAGCTACCTCAATTTCAACGAAGAGCTGAGCAACCGCGAGAACTATGGGGTCGTGCACGATGATCACAAGTATTGTGTTGTACACTGACAGCGATAACTGACGAGAAGTCATCGACAGCTGATGATAATGAAGATCCCAATTGTTTTGAAGATTATGTTAAGCATCATCCGCAAGCATATGTAACGAAATTTAGTAGCTAGCGTGAAGTAACGCCCATAGATGAATGGATAGATAGCAATTGTTGTTATCATTCGGTGGAAGGCGAATGTTTGTTATCGTTTACTAATGAATTAACCCGTGACAGGTGTGTGAACGTATGGTAGAATTTGCTACCAGGTTGACGATGGCTAAGAGAAGAATCCTTGAAGATCCCGAATTGTATAGGGACGAACACTGCACAAATAGGGTAAGTAAATCTAAAACATTTGTTTTATCTTTATATTTTAATTATGTGTTTCCATTCACTACAGCGTATGAACTAATATCTTTTCCCGACGGTACAAGAAACTTCAGAGTATTGATTCGTACATACAAGTACATACATCAATTCAGACAGATTCTTTGTTTGATATAAAATGACACATAAAGCGATCTGATTCGAACTGCGCGCTATATAACGATTTCAACGATAGACCTAAGTGCTAACTGACACACATCTACTTCTGTCTACTTTTGTGTTGTACAATATCATTTTACAAACGCTTCGGTCTTCATCATACGGAATTGTAGTGAGGGATAATTGTCTCAAGTCATAAAAACAGCCAGCCCATGGCACCGTGTACCTTTCCTTTGTTCGTTCTTAACCCGTAAATACTTTGGCGAATACACCTCACATATGCATCTATGTCCTTTTTATGTCTATTTTATGCTGGCGTGCCTTATCCTGTGTGCTTCGTTGTCAGTCATAGCTTATGATCACCAAGGAAGGCCGTTTTAGCGAAAAGCCTAACTGCAAAAACTTGCTGGCTTGGCCTAGAATCTTTCCTAGAATCCTAGAAAGTTGCCGTTCACCGCTTGTAGAAAAGCTCAAGGCGCTGTGCTTGATCAGTGGGCGGTGCATTCTTGTTCCTATGCTCCGCCGTTGCTACTTTCCTTCTATTTACAATTCAAAATTTCCCTGAGGAATAGCGCAGTGCTGAAATACGTGCGGCTTCCTTCGACCACAAGGTCTCAATGTTTTTAAACGCATGTAAGGTGGAGGTTGAACCTATGTGTCTGGCTGGTCTGACCGCAGTAACATTCGTGTTGAGTATAAGGGTGGTTAGGCTAAGAGAAGGTACGTAAATAACACGTAGACACTGGATAGACCACAATGAAAATATTCCTGGTAATGGTATTAACATTTATTGAGGGTACGATAAGACCCGATCCAGTATCGGATATATATATCTAACGTGGACATTCACAATGATTATTATTGATATAATTTTAATATACTTCGTCTAGCTCGTATCCTTTATTGATATTATATTTTGCGAGCACTTTGTGCCGCTATTAAATGCCTATTTATAGTGTCTTTGAAAAACATCGACTTACCATAAATTTCCCAACTTTCCGTTTTTTCAAGCTTTTTCTCGCCAGTCTTCATAATTTTCTATATTTATCGGGTGTGCACGTTTTCAGGAGCGTCGCCAACGGGTGTGCCAAAAACTAGCTCTAGTTCCGGGTAAGTTAGACCACGCATCCCTGTGCGCCGTGCGACTCGGTATCCATCCCGCCGAAGATATCAATGTGAACGCTTCTACAAGTAACGGAAATCCTATAATGGCATCTGCATCTCCCGCGTCGGCCAACTCGAAGGTCGATCTATATGCCCCCCGAAGGTCGATAGCAGAAGCACGTCGTGCCTTCTTCGAATCCTCTAGTGGAACCCCATCCGCACCGGCTAGCCCCGATGCCGGCGCGTATACGACCCCCGAAAAGAATAACAATCTAACTACTCCTTCCACGAGCACGACTAGCAGCTCGACTAACAATACCGCCAGTTCCACTGCCGCTTCTACCCCATCAATATGCCGCGCTTCCAAAACCCACGATCATTCCCAGCCTATTTCCCGACCACCAAGCAACCTCTCAAGTAATTCCAACAAAGTCAATTTCAATTCAAACGATTCAGACGTAACAGCAAAACAGCTTCAACAAAGTACTTTCTCGAGTAGCTCTGCTAAATCAGCAGCGGCTACGTCTACCGGCGAGCCCTCAAAGGCCGCCTCCTCAAGGAAGTCGTCGACAGGGAGTACCTCGTCGAAAAAGGCCCCCCTGTGCAATTTTGAGTCCACAATTTAGCCTGTTCTCGTCCAACGGATGCCCAAAGAAAATTCTGGCAAAAATGTTACAGCAAGAATAAAGTCTCAACGTGCGTAGAATATTGTATGTACCATATTCTACTATGGTAAAACATTGACAACCAAACAACTGAGGCAGATATTTCTGACATAGATTACAAGGTGGTAGCAGTGATAGGTTCCGCTCGGCTAAGTGTCGTGGTGTCGGGGGTCGATGAAGACGGGGGATCCGGCCAAAAAGGGATGAATGCTGCGAGGAATAAAGCAATAGCCTTAAACAGACGCTACAGCCAGGTGAAACGTATCAAGTTGCGTTATATATATATATATATATATATATATACATATATATTTATATATATATATTAGACCCCTTAGAGGAGAACTGTAGTAATTGATAGTTCAGGATTGCCTGATGGTTTAAACAAGTTCTTGACGGTTGAAGAGTCTTTTTTCTTCTCCTGTTAAGGTAACGGGAGGGTAAAATATCATAAAAATAGGGAGCAGAAGAAGATAAAATCAAGGATCCCAAACTGTCAAGAGTTTATTTTTAAATTTCCAGTCAACTTTCGCCCAAGCTTGCATATTATATAATTTTGAATGGTTAATGATTAAGGAAGTTCTAATTAAAGGAGAGAATGTTAATGCGTTGTACCCAATGGGTGAAGAGTTTCTACAAATTCAGATTAAGGTCGCAGAAGTTTTCGGGGTATGACACGACGATTCTTTGGCGAAAAAGTAAATTTTAGGCATTGCTTACAGCCGCTGACTGTCTACAGTTGCTTAGCGAAAAGGATCCAGGAAACGAGGTCGGACAATTGCATCCGTTTTGGGTGTATGTGCGTGTTCGTGCGATGAAAGCGATTGTGATGTTGGGGTCGTTGCATTAGTGATGGGATCTCACCGAGAGACATACATAGGACTATACGGAACAGCCGAAAACGGTATATAAATGAAAGATCTTCATTCGTGTCAGCAAAGTCTATTGTATACCCACAGAGACGCTGAGGGAATACTTGTGTTCGGTACGGGCGGCCTTGTTGCTGTCCTTCGAGTGAGCACTATGATTCTCACAGTCATAGGTGTCGCGTTCTATTGAGCTACAGGCTTAAAGTCAGATAAATTTGTCGATGTAGACATTGTAGATTGTAGATGCTGTTTGTAGATGTACCGGGAAGGCGGAGTTCTTCAAATACGCGTAGCCAAAACTCAGACGCAGACGACAAAGAGGACGCAGTTGCTACCGTCGTTCAACACGAAGATTTTTAAATACATTGACATTGGATTAGATTATATACGTGTGTATATGAGACTGAATAGTAAGTACACGGTGATTAAATCAGCGACCAGAAAAATCACATGGTTGTACACGTTAACCGGCACTCGCAAGCTTTGCCCTTGTGCAACTATAATTTGTCGTTCGGGCTTAAACTGAGGATACGCCATATTTGGCCAACCCTGTCTTAGTTTAGGTACAAATATTGTTTGTCTGATGATAGTGATATCATAATGAGGGATCGAAGCAAAATATCCTAGCTGAAACGGACTAATATGTAGAACGACCATTCCCCTCCTCGGCAAATAGGATAGAAATGAAATACGGTGTACTTGTAAATACTTTAAGCAAGGCTGAAACGACAGGAAGGTACTTCGTGCGTTTCTTATGGCAATCGCAACGTAATAGCTAACGTAGTAGGTAAGGAGATGTGTGTCATATACCGCTCAGGGTCTAAAGAGCGCGAAAAGCTGGTGTAAGTATAGCTACTTAATAAATACTAACACCATTGTTTGCCACAGAAGGCAATCGCTCCGTAACGCAAGGACTGATCAATAGACGAGAAGCTAGGCTTCAATTAGCAAAGGACGATGGCTGATGGTCGATTGTTGCTTGGAGTACATGATGACAATGTAAGGTATACTGCCCGTTTTTAATATATCTACTGGCGTTCGCGTTGAGGGCTATTTCTCTCTCGCTCCAGTTATATGGCATTTTTTCGTCAGTTGGGGGCTTTTGTAATCCACCTAACCTATACATCATCATTATCAAAGTAGTGCATCGTGAAAATACAAATCACAAGGAAGTGTCAAGATTATCAAGCGTATCCCTCAATGAGGTCATATCAAAGATATACTAGAAACAATCCCGAGACAGCTCGGGTAGTTTCACTGCCAATTACCACAATTGAAAGACTTTGTCGATTGGCGAGCACAGACAAGGTCCCTGAGTTAAGAGTTGGGACGCAGTGGTTCCCTTGGGAACAAGCCACATAGCAACCTGCCAAAAAAAAGAGCGATTATCGTCTACACATTTTTATCGCATCCGTGTATCTCAAATGTAGGTTAATACGGTTTTGTTGTCATTCTATATAAACTCAGTATAATTGTGTACCAGTGAACGGGAGCAAGAGAATCCTGACGATGACTAAATCACAAAAAGAACTGCGTTGGTATACTCCATGCTCTCTAGTGAGGCAAAAAAGATAAATCTGCAAGAGATAATTAAGGAAGAAATCTTCCGTTCCATCAATCATTTTTTATGTAACGTATCCTGTTTTTTACTCATTATTGATGTTCTTGTAGCAAAAATCGAGTGATTACCCACTGCAATACCTTAGAGCTCTATGCCGCCTCATCGTTGCCAATGGGTCTCTGCTGACGAGACGAAAAAAACATGAAAGCAGACCGAGATTCTATAATAGATCAACTGTGGATGTAGTAGCACTGATGGTGAAACGAATGCAATAGGGCTTCTGATATATAATATATTAAGTTATAATAAGTAGTCAGTTTAGGTATTAATTATATAGTAAGTAATCGTCAGATAGGACGATTATGCGAGGGCTATATTATTAATAAAATCCAAATCTTATTAATAATAATTCAATTCTTTTTCATTTGTCGAAGTAAAAGTGTGGAACGAAGGGAAAATAACAAAGACATACATAACTGACGCCGCGAGCAAAGCCGGGTGCTGGCGTTTCATTCATATAAAACTATTTACTTGGGATATTCCACATGTTCTTTCGCCGCGAAAATAAGATACGCACGCACAAAGACAAACAAGCAGCACATTGTTTTTGTACTTCCTATTCCGGCGTTACGTTGATAAAGAACAAACAAAACGCTGTCTGAGCTAGGGGATGATGTTAAGGCACCATAACAAAACTGCATGTCACGACCCGTTATGAAACTAGTGCTATTTTATTAAAACGACGTAGTATCAATACAAGGCTGCAGCTCGTCGTCGTGCGACTTTTTACGACGTTTTATAATTCCAGTCATCGATGACGGGGGCAGGGATACAGGAGCAACGCGATCGGTGTCGCTTGGATCGTTTAGAAGAATCTATGCTCGTTCGAATATTTCTTAATAGTACAGGTGCACCCTCAGCGAAGATTTCCGACGGTCCATTATTTTGTCTCGCCAATCAGCCGGATCGTGCAATGAATCCATAAACTTCTGGCTGGTACAACTGCGCAATCATTTCACCGATAAGTTCATCCAGTTCGACTTTGTAGCTTGCCCATTCACTGTTCAAAACAGATTCAGAAGAACATAGTATTGATAAACAGTTAAAAACAAAAATTCCGAGCCAGCTGACACAAATACAATTACGTTTGCCGCCGAAAAGTAGTAGCAACCCATTTGTGTTGAGGTATGTTCTTGTCCGTTATCACGCTAAAGATGGTTCGGATCCGAGGCACTGCCCATGTTTTCTAATGGCACGGAAATTACCGACAATCTCTATGTACTAATATGGTGACTATAATAATGGTGCAATACAGCGACTGACCCTTTAGGAGTACCAGGTTTGGCAGAAATCTCTGAGTACCACTTGATTTTCGGTTCGGTTCCCGAAGTACGAATCGTTATATTGGCCGAATTGGCCATGTAGAACGTAATCATTTCACTCGAGTCGCTAACGGGCAGAATAGGTACGTTGTCAGGTAGCGTGTTGTCAAAGCCTACTGTTAGGTCTCGGACGCCAGTTATCATAAATCGACCCAATTTGGTCGGGTACTGAAATACAGATGGGTGGGGCAATAAACGTTAATATTTCTAAGACGATAGATACTGCCCTATGATAAGCAAGTTGAATCTTGATTCAATGGAGAATGTACTCAAATGAACCCTGCTTTTTTTTTTTTTTTTTTTTTTACGAAGGGCCTATATTTTACGTCCGGTGTGGCACTAGTTGGCGTTGCTTTAGATGACGGGCTCTTCCCAGCGAAAAAGAAACGCCATCCATTACCTAGCGAATTAATAGAAAACTATGTATCTATGACTTGCTGATACAAAACAACTCGTGGCAGATAGCAGTGCGTGCGAACCAGATTGCGAAAGGCTCTCGAACGGAAAATGGCAACGGTATTGCAAATAGCTTTAACGTAGCCAGTCTTGCTTTTTCTTCTTTGTTGTGTGAATTATAGTGATAGTTAAAGCATATGGATGTCTAATTAAAGTTAATGGGTCATTTGATTAATGGCTGTCGTGCCCGTGATAGGAACACGTGATTATCTATGTTCGAATCCGGCCACAGTACGATGTTCTTAAATGGCGATTAGCGACAACGGATTCGCCTCACCGTGTTCGGTCCATTGAAATTTCTAATGCGATTAAACATCTTCTTTGTCATCTCCGGTTGATGGCTGAGGTAGTACGAGTTGTTCGTAACGTGGAAGCCGTACTTAACGAACAGCCGATCTAGATGCTCCTGGAGGGTGCCCGCCTTCGTAGAGTCAAGATAAGCCACAAGTTCAGCGACATGCATTGCCGCTGATATACCATCTTTGTCCCAGACCGACGTTCCGCACATATATCCAATGGCTTCTTCGTACGCGAAGAGAACAATTTTGCCAGCCTTTGTCAGTTCAATACCTCGATTACCCATCCATTTGAAGCCTGTAAGGGTTTCCTGTGAAGCAAAACAATAAGAATCCTTAGTTACTACGAGTAACTTATGCTCCCGTGAGAATATCGAATAGCTCTATTTCTAATGGCTGCTTACTTGAAGGCATTTACCGCCTGTTGCAAACCGTAAGGTGTCGTTGACGGAGTGTGAATATGCACATAAACTCACGGCATACATTTATTTCTTACGCAACCACTCCTCTGTGCGCACGCAGGATCCTATCTATAAAAGCCGGTTGAAGGGTTTGATCGGTTATTAATGATTTTCGACATAGATCAACCCCCCTACCTCGAAGTTAAAGCCCTCTAAGTTGGCGACGCTGCGGAGAGCTTTCGACGACACCGTACTGGCAATCATGTAAACGTCGCTCGCCTTTGCATCTTGGTTTTTGGCCTTGAACGAATGCCACATCCACCATCCTGCACAAATGCATCCGACATAAATGTTAACGCCGATAGTTGCTTTCGCTGGCACGTGCATATGTGTCTAAATCCTTCCCACTTCAAGATTTTCGACCACCGAAATGGGTTCTTCTACTGCTAGATGTAGGCTAACCATCAAAAGCTTATTATTACTATAAGGTACACTGCGCGACTATTGCTTTAAGTCAAGTTTTACCGAGAAGCAGTCCAATGTGATCTCCAGAGAATACATGAAAATTCTCCGAATCGTCGATCCTCTCTGCAACGGCTAATCGATCGGCATCGGGATCGTTCGCAAGAATGACCCGGCTCTTGTTGCTATTAGCGGTCGCTATCGCCAGGTTCTTTTAGGCAAAACCAACAACAAATATTCGTCAGATTAGTTGACAAATGAAGATTACGTCACCGTCTAAGTTACAACTTGTTTGGTAGAAAAAAGTTGGAACTTTTTTTACCCGTATCGAGCATGGAAAATAATCATTGTTGTTGTTGCTGCTGCTGCTGCTGCTGCGTTTGATATGCATGTAACGAAATACTCGGATTCTCTGGAAACGCTTCTTTTTTTTTGAGTGAATTAAGGATAACAATAGAAATATTTTCGGTCTGGAACTCACCAAAGCACTCTTGCCTTCCTCGGGATTAGGGAACTTCACCGTGGGAAAGTCTGGATGAGGCTCCATCTGTTCGACAACAGGGTAGCCAGGTTTGAAGTTCCATCGTTTGAAAGCTTCGGTGATATAAGGATGAGAAACGCCATGCATCGATGTGAACGTGAACATAACATTGGTTTGCCTGTTCATATTTCTGTAATTTAAATACATCATATTTAACGTTTGACTGTGGCTCTTGCTCTCATACTAATGGATCATGTTCTTCTGCGATGCAGCAAAGAACATTACTACTACAAGTTATGTTCCCGATGGCAATCGATGATAAACATGCTCTCTTTATCGTCTATTGCTACAATTGCTTATTTGTGTTTGTTAGAAATTTACAACGTACCTGTCAAACATGCTTTTTTCGAGTACTTCCATATACTTTGAATTGACCTCCTCAATGGGATCTGAACACATCACGTTACTGCGAACGGATTCCGTTTTCCAAGCTTGAGGCCAAGGCTCCAGCTCTTGCAGAATGCTGTTCTGAATGCCAGCGTCATGAGGAGAAAGGATCTGTGCTCCATTTTCCCAATAGACCTGATGAACCCGTACAATGGATTTGTCTGAGAACACTCTCTACATAGATCGAACGAATGATTCCTTTATTTTGGCTAATTTTTCCCTAGATATTTTAGCCCTGTGAAGAGGATTTAGCGGGATATCTATCACAAAATCAAAATCCAATGTACTATGAATGAACCTAAAAACCTGAAAACATCTACGAAGCTCTACTAGCCACTATACGAATGTATGAACGCCTGAAAAAGTTATAGATATGGCTTTCGATACTGAGCAGTATTGGCAATAGCGACTTACCTTATACCCATTGTCGTCCTTCGGGTTATGGGACGCTGTGACCATAACACCGGCAGCACATCCAAAGTGGGAAATTGTAAAAGGGATATATGGTGTTGGCGTTACTCGAGTGAAGAGTCGAACAGGTACTTCGACCTGGAGGAACGCCTGGGCTGCCAGTAGGGCGAACCTGAAATTGGAATTAAATCATACCAGAAACTCAACAGGTTAAAAATTACTCAGAGTAGACAACTGAGAGGATACTGTGCGGTCCACTAGCTAATAAAGCGAATATAGAAATGAATGTGGTTTATTTTAAACAGTTACCTAGAGCGTAGGGATAACTAGTCTAATATGTAGACGTTGGTGACTATTATGCAGCGCTCATGATTGCCACTTAGGATTCTTTATGTTGATTACCTGACTGTGTCAATCAGGTAGGCGGTAAGTATAATCGCTAACTATATACTTAATGTTTAAGATTTGTGTATCGATATATAAAATCTGCACGCAAAAAAACATGCACTGGCCAAAGGTTTCGACTCAGCTTCAACGATCTTTTGTTGAACTCAACTTGTCCTTCAGAAGGCCGGCGAAGCGAAAAAAAGAACCTGTATTTGTTGAGAAATCTAAGCAGTGACCTTACTCGTAGTCAAAGCTACTCTTCATTGGAGATACATTGGAGAACATTTATCCCATAATACCAGATTGAAATTTTCTGCAGTTCGGAAATTTATCAGTGTCCTGGATTTACTTAGAATGCGTAAAAGGCCGCTGGTGCTAAACTATGCACTGATATCGGCCACGCATCCTCTGCCTCTACTATTCTTAATCGAGCACCGTTTATTTAGCGCCTGCAGTTAGACGTAATGCCATAACCATTATGGTGCAGGTAGTGGCTCCTGCACACAGGCAATACGACGCGTGGAATGGCCTATTCGCTACATCCCGTCTATCCGGGCTCCGTTTCATCTTAGTTTCGAGTCGCCTGTATAGCATATAGGCGAAAGTATATAGTAGCATCGCAACCCGCGCTTCAGTCATCCCGACTTCAGTCGCGACTGTCAGCCTCTCGCCACTTCCGATCTGGGCCTCGACCGCCTGCCACTACCGCTGCCATCCTTCGGTCGTCCGATGAGCTGCTCAATACAAAAAACAATGCGCGGACGTGGATGTCAACGCCCCACCGCAAAATATATAGCCCACGTGCGAGCCTAGGAGGCTGCAACAGAACAACAATGACACATGTCTATAGAATTCTAATCCAACGAACACGTCCTACGGTTTTAATAGCTCTGTAACTGGGTAACTCTGTCACATGATAGACTAGTTGTTGGACCAGTTGGTGGGGAGAGGTTTTTTGACATTTCAGGAAATGCACGTCCGTCAAGCGTGAAAAGTGCTCACGTCGCTAGGTATACATGCCCGACGCGAACTGATAACTCGATAGTCGTTAACTAACAAAGCTTCCAGTAAGTAAAACGCTAAAAAGCCAAGGCTGATTTGGAATAGAAAGTGCCCATAGTTTGTGATCGTAGTTACTCTAACAGTACGCTGCTGGAAGACATAGAAGGTGAAGGAAAAAAGTGACCGTTCTTGACATACTGTGTGAGGACCGTCAGTCGTGTTACGAATAAACCTATCGATATGTTATTAAAAACGATACTACGCAGTTTCGTTCTAGCAGTTTCAACGATAGTAGTAAAGGGTGTTGACGTAACAACAACCGTGCCTATCGTGCCGACCGAACTCACAAGTACGCTATCGGCTCAAGTAACTGTTCTCGATCATCGAAGGGGCGCCCTCACAAGGGATATTGGCCCCCACTCCGAAGAGCCTCGTGCAGGTCGAGCATTTAGTCCTGAAATTTCAGTTACAGCAAAACCAATCAGTGTGGGCCGTTCGGTAAATATTGATGATCATCTCAACGAGCAGAACCTAGCGATATTGTTTCCGCACCTTTATAGTCACCTGACTGGTGCACACGAGAACGCACACTCAAGGAATCCAGTCCAGGTTTCAGCTCAACCGGCCATCGAGCATTCGCGCATTTGGGACATGCTAGAACAAACACATTCCGAACGACGAAAACAGGTGCCCCAACCAACTACGTCGACCACTACGACGACAACTCCAAGGCCTGTCTCGATACAGCCACCTCATATAGAGAAAAAGCCTGATGTCAACTCCAAGCTTACCGCTTCCAGCAAAACGCTGCCCATGTCACCAGCCTTATTACCGCAACTGCTCGAAGAGCTGAAGAATGATGAGACGATTCGAGACACAGCCGTACGTCAACTCCATCGTCGTATTCTGTTTGATATAATTCGCATGGCAATCGGCGCCAAATCCGTAAATGCGTCCGATGCCGGCCTCCAGAAGACCATTTTAGTTAGCGGCCAGAAAAGAAGTTTGATGCCGCCGATCTCTGTGTCAGCACCCGCTGCTACAACAACAACAACCCCCGCTGAAATTTCTACGACGACAGCAACTACCGGATCGGCAGAGCAGTTGTTTGAAGAAGTACACCGTGAGGGATACGTTGATTTAGAGCACATGGGCAATGATCATGTGTGCTTTCACTACAAAGGTATGTAATAGACCTACTGAAGCGTACTGTTACACAATTTACCCGATATTTGTTAAGCTTTGTTCCCAACGTTCGTTCAGTCAGATGTGGCATGGAAATCAATAGAAAGCTTTTCAATAATATAAAATTGTGCTATGTTCCTATTAAACAGGTGTTCTTGGCGCGCCACCTAAAGGAAAGTCTGAGAACTCTCCACCGCAAGCATCTCTACCGTCACATCCCCTCACTGAGACGGATCCAACACTCCTTCAGCTTTCGCAACAAGTCCAGGATAATTGGGACGACTTTGTTGATAAGATTCGCCAGGTAGCAAAGGCGAGCTGGGAACACATGACTAAACAGATGGCTCAATCTATCCATAATATGGTCTAGTCCAAATCTACGTTTATATATTGGAAGACCTATGATTTAAGACATGTTAATCCGACGTACAGAGTTTACCCAGATCGAGATATATATATATATATACAACATACGTTCCAAAACGCAGCCATTGCTTGAAAGTTTTATCTTAATGGAATTAGTCTACTTCCGACAAAATGGAGGCAATTTTTATTCTGCCAGACGAACTGCTATTTGGAGTTGTTACGAAACGCTAGTAGTGTAAGCTTCCAGCTCCTATATACCAGACCAGTCATGACTAATAAACAACTGTTTAGTTGTAAATATACAAATTTTCAAGAAAAACATGTAGTAAAATTTCTTTCTTGAAAATTTTCATGAAAAATAAATTTTTCAGGAAATATTATTTGTCAAGAACTATTGAGAGGTTAGTAATTCGATCATTTTGGTAAAGCATTGGGGAGCTAAGTGACTTAGCTAGATCAGCATTTCTTGGTAAGCCCGACGACGGAACCACAGATTCTACTTTTTGAAATTGAGTATTTTTCGAATTTGAGCGCGCTTACTGCCGCTACCATCTTTGGTGGACGTAAGGCCGCTTTGAACCCAGCGCTGACCTACTCGTTAAGCATGAGTCCATATAGAATACGGCCGAGTCAAGTTTCCAGATAAACTTGTAGGAACGTAAGCATTGTAAGGAAAAACTGCATAATGCGTATTATTGTGCAAATAGGGTGTCAAATTAGCGTTATTACGTGTTTATGTAGTACACCTAAAATGGGACGCTGGCCGCCATTAAATTTGTTATTATTAGCGTTTTCATCATTAGAATAGCTATATTAGAATAGGATATTGGAGCTAATATATACATATATATATATATATATATATATATATATATATATATATATATATATATATAATAGAATTGTGTGGGTATATACACATAATAATAACAGGCCATCCATTTCGGCTTCTGTCCTGCTTTCTTTTTGCTGACACTTTTTAGCCTAACGGTGGAATGGCGGTGAACTAGGCAAACTAATTAATCTTAGTTTGTTGTAGTTGTATAAACTACAACTGGTAAACTACCGGCGATACGTTATTAAAGACCTATGATACGCCAACGATTCAATGTGGATCTCTTGTCTCGTTTCTTAGCTAGGCATTATTTCAGCTTTAGTGCGCTAAGAAGTTCATCAGCTAAACCGCGGGGTGAAGTACATGGGGTTAAACGTGAAATTTTTGAAAAATATTCATTTTGAAAAAACAATACAAAGACCACAAGAAGAGAAGCCAGAACAGTCGATCTAAAAGGAAGGTTCGCACTTAAAGCCAATAAACTTTTACCTTGCAGAATTGTGTCGTCCGTCAAAACCAATGACGATACCTTTCGTCTTCGCGTCTGGAAGCGTCTTAAGCAGATATTTAGCTAATCCCTGCGATGTTTGCACGATGACAAGGTCGTTCATGCAGGCAAAGCCTTCACCCATTACGCCCCGGAGGCCGGCAGTTCCAAAGGACAGTCTCTTGAGCATAACTGCCTCGAGTCGAGCAACATTACCAGCTTCCACAAGGCTCTCAATGGTAGCACGAGTTTTTTCATTCTAGAACAGCAGAATCGAAAAACGATGTCCTTGTAGCACAATTAACAGTCAACAGCTAGAGTTTTCCGACTGATTTGTGTTTACACTTCCTTACAAAACCGTTGCAACGCTTACTGTGTATGGTAAAGAATTTACAGTGAAAAGATCTAGGCTTATCTATAGAACTTTCCTCTGACAAAACAACCTTCAAAAAATTGCGCGCTCTCTATTTCGAAAACGATATCAGACCATATTTAAGCAATACTCTGAGCTCTCTATCCTAATCCTACGCGCTATAAGTATCCCGCATTTTTTCGGTAGTTATTTACCCTCTGTTAAAGACGGACGCGATACGGCAACGTTCTAGTTTCGTTATTTCTTGAAATAGAGGTAACTCTTTTCAACCTATTCACTAGCCACATCGAACAGAGTTACTGCTTTCCCTTTTTCATTTTCTGTTCGCTAACGGTCAAGCGTTGTCTCTCGCCGACGAGCTCTTTTGGTACTTGTGGTCACGTTTTTGCCCAAGTTATGATATTGATTTGATTTGGAGCTTGAGTCTCGATACCCGTATTATACCGATATACTATATTGAAGGGTAAAAAGCGTGATAATATAGCTGCTTTAAACCAATTAAATCAGTGCAAAAATGATCGAAGATTACCGAAAGCTTATTTTTAAAAAAAAAACATCGTAGTGCAATTTTAGTGTTTATTGTTCACTCTAAAAAGTTAAAAGTTTACATGTATTGTATCGTTGGCCGTTTGATGATTTATTTTTCTCTGAACTTGGCAAGTTTTTTTAATCAGCTTCGGATTTTTATCACCTTTGTTTACCCGTTAATGGGCTCCGTGTATTATCCTATCTTATTACGGTTCTTTTCCTAACAATATAATATCTACTCATTTAATTATTGCATTGTGAGAGTGGGTTCATCGTATTCTTAAGTTATATCGAAAATTCACACACTCAGGAAAAACTGCCGTTACTTATGATTCACCCAACGCTTACTTGTGATAGTCTCTCTCCCCGTTTTTGTTTGAGTTTAAGAGTTAGAAACAAAGTAATGCCCAGCTGTTTTTACATACACATATATATGTGTTAAATATATTAACACATTGATAAATGGCAATTATTTCCTGACTGTGTCTGAAATTTGTGGTGACGCTAACCATATGCAGATTATGTAGAGTGTCGTTCTTATTTAGGTCATGGATGTAATGTCTGAAATAGCTATTCCAAGAGAGAAGCACAGACTGCTGCCGATAACAGTGCTTCGGTTGAATTCAGCTTTATTATCAGAAAATTTCAGAATTGGATCTTCAAGTGATGATCGGAGCGAAGTACTAAAACATTGGGAAGGACAACAGGACATGTTCTTCGTTCAACGCCAACCTGGCGGTTTAGAAATGTATTGTTACCTTGATCCTATTACGTGAATAATGCAGAACTCAATAGGACCAGGTGGAAATAATCCCAGATAATTTCAAGTCTACGTTCGAATTGACTTAAATCTGCTATTGAGTCGTTTAAGAAAAAAAAAACAGCCTACTAATTCATCGCCTTGACGACCAATACATCATCGGTTTAAGTAGAAGTTTAACATCCGATGTTTGTTATTTAGGCCTTTTAGTAATCTTGTAGACTAGTCTCCTCGTTGCCAGCCATAGAAAGTCCTACTGCGAGAGTAGCTTGCCTTGCTACCTTCTGCCAAGATTTCCGAATATCCAATGTACCACGTACGTTAAAATAGGTCAGAAGCAAAGACGGTAGGACGCTACTACAACAGCATCTCCATCTCTTAATATTGGACTTGTTTTCGAAATGTATGAATGCCCCCCGGGCTAAGATCAAACCAGCTTCTTCAAACTAATGCCGCCTTCACTTTGTAGCGGAATAGCAAATGACGTTATCGAAAAATTCTACTAAAAATCAATCACTTTCATACGGTTTTACGTCCATTAGCGGGGGTCTTAGCGTGGTACCTCACGTTACGGGTTAGTGGGGTAATACCTGAGCGCATAGCTAGCTACACAGGACATAGTTGGATGTGATCTACACACAGCGGCAGATTCTTAATCGTTCCTCATCACTGGTGCTCTGTAGAAGGGGATAATGCGGTAAAGAAAGAACGACGGTTGGGCAAACGATACGACAGAAGGGCACACCGCAAACAGGAATGAGAACTTTATCATCGATTCGATGGTTTAAATATACGTAACATGGTTAAACAAATTTACAGTATTTAGTATAATTTCCTATGAACTAAAAATGCAATAGCGTTTTAACGCTGTCCACATGTTCTTATCACAGTCCCGTGGCCTCGACACTAAAGGGCAGCTGGACATTACCTTGTGCTTACCATGTTGAATCATATTGAGCAGTTGCCACAAGAACGCTATTCCGCGCAAGACTCATCATAGATCATCAAACGTCTACTGTATGAAATAACCGAAACCAGAAATTTGCAGCCTTCCCAATCGATGCTATTACTGCCCCAGCTATCGAGTCAACTATTGCATACTACTTACTCATTGGGAAATTCGTTTTTTAAAAAAGATAAAAAAACGTTCCTATTTTGTCAAGGGCATGACCTGGACAGCAGTCATACGCAAAAGGAACATTAAGTGTCCCACAAGGATCGAAAGAAATACTGACACAATTGTCGCTTCTCACGTAATATCGGACTGAAGCATTTAGTTAAAAATCTTCTGAGGGTGCACCCAGTGATGACCAGCTAAATTGAGTAGCCCATACATTTAGGATTATTAATTAACATATGTGTACACAACATGACGGTTTTCAAGGAAAACCGCTCAAAATGTTTACTTGTGAAGACAATTTTAACTTTCTCCACTTTACACTGGACTAGTCTTCTATTTCGTCAGTGTTATGTGTTGAATCCCTTGTCGGCAAACAGTGAATGAACAGTGAACAGTTATGCAAGGTGACATGTTTGTTAACAAAGATCTTACGTACGTATTTTTTTTTATGTCGAAATGGGTTAAACTGAAAAGTTAGGCGTTCTCCACCGTTTTAATTTCCTGCGGTGAAACTCGTTTTTGTTAGTGTAAAGCGCATATTAAATATATAATAATTTTCAAAACGTTACAAAATGTCTGATGCTTCCTTATAATCTAGCTTACACTGATATGGAGTATTTTTAAACTATGTACCAACTCGAAAAGGCGCTCCCAATTAGATCCCTGGCTCTATTGCACGCTTAACAAAAGTATACGATAAAACTTTTATAGACCATAAACCGTTACAGTAGGTACCTTATCCCATCGAAGCCATTCCCCAACGCGTATCCGCAAATCTCCTGTTAACTTGTCCATAGTTTGTTTTCTAGTCCGATTTAGCAGCACCGTTTATTAAGGCCTCGCTTTTCTAGTTAGTATTTAGCTGTTTTTCTTTCTTTCTTCTCGAGCCAGATACTTCGAACAGCAGAAACTCTTACACGAACCGGCCAACGTAGTTGCTTACATCACCCGCAACCAAAAATAATCCACTGGATTAACTATGGTAGACCACCGCTCGACAGTCAACCGTGATATAAATCTACGTGGCAACCAGATATGACCTTAGGCCACAATTGGACACAAACGATGACAATAATCACTACTAGGGCCAACGACTCGTTTTCATTCGCCAACAACGCTCTTCTATCGACAACTGCCAGAGTTTTCCACTGTCGCTATCAATCAGCTCGTTGGTTGTATGGTTGATGGTCAGCCACGACATATTCGCGCATCGAGCGTTCTCTTTGCAGCCTTCCATTCGTTGATAACTGAATGTTGGACGGCCGGTCGCAACGATAACAACAGCCACAACGAAAGGTGCTTTGGCGGGTCCTAGTTGATGAAGTGTGATTGGCGCGGACGGCGAGTGGGTTTTAAGGCGCTTGATGCCCAATCGACAGCAGCGCAATGGCGAACGAACGGTTTCAACGATAGCTTTTTCATCTCTTCCTAAATGGTGACAGAAAAAGTCGACGCCACTAAAAGTATTTATTTATTGTGTAAGAAAAGTCCCAAGCCATAAGTGCATACCAGCTTTGAATGAACCACACGCAGGAAGAACAGCTAAAAGCAGACGCTGTTTTGAACGCGTGCGCTTTCGTCAACGATATCGTTCTACTAAGGCGACGGACCTATTCAGAGTAATAGTAGCTCTGTGGCAGAACAAGCACAGTCGTCTGCCTTGCGCAGTCTGTCGTTGTCGGCGTGCTTGCTACTATTGAGTACTTACGCCTACTGAGTATTGTTCTACTTTGAGTAGATGCGAGATGTTGTGGCTAAATCGACGACTGGACTAGTTTATTTTGCACAGATACATACGCAGAACGGTAGAGGACGTGCCGCTTTCCACCGGAAGTTAAATGACTAAAAGTTCCAATGAAACTTCGCGACATCTGAAAAATATAGCTACATTTAGATAACGATAGGTTATAGATTGTAATATATATCTAGATTTGCATATAGGAGAATTTGTCCAGTTCGTTTGGGATTCATTTGGTGAGACAACACGTAGCATGTACGAAACGTTCAAGCCCCAAACGTTCAAGCCCCAAACGTCGTTACCATAGTACACAAATAGCAAAATAGATTACCAACTTCATGATCGGATAATTACACAAGCGGTGGATAGTTAGTAGGACACAGGGTCGTTCCTAGTTCGGACGGACTAAAAGTAATCATGCGTGCGAGTTAGGCTATTCAAGCTGACTGCTTTCCACGCGTAGCGTTTGCTCACGACAGAAAGAGATACAACGAGTTTTGAGAATATATTGGGAATGTAAGTCGACACATAAACACACTATATTCTCATAATGAAGGATAATAAGAGCCGCACGATACATGAACGAATATCGATAAGAACAAAAAAATAACTATTCCTAGAATGAAGTGAAGAAGAATGAAGTTTCTGTACCACGTTGACTAACAGTAACTGCAATATGGTACTTTGTTAGTCTAGTATTACCTAGAACGAAGTGGGAATAGATCTAGGATTTTTTATCCTGGGATTTGTCTATAGCTTATATTAACATAAATTTATCTATTTGAGGCCAATATTTAAAACAGATAATTTTCTAGAGACAATACTTCGCAAACGGATCGAACGACATCACTGCGTCGTACGTAAAACAGTATCTCTACAACTGAGCATAGCTCGACGGTGTCCAATAGAGGAACGTAGGCAGTGTTCTGAGCGCATTGAAACAAGGGCGCAAGGGCCGCCATCTAAAAAGTTGTCGACCATGAGTGCACTCATGGACGAGTATCTTTAGAGGTAACGTTCAAATCAATTGTGATTTAGCAGCAATGGCTGGCCGGCCGGCGCGTGACCCAGTGCCTTAAACAACATCATAGTGAAATAAGTCGAGAGGCAATAAGAGTTTTGGCATCAAAATGTTAATTGAGAAAAGCCGTAAACAATTGCTGATCCATTCGTTTTTATGTGTGTCTAACTCCAGGTTAAGGGTAAAAACACGCGGGTTGCTATCAGAACTCTGCTTAGAAATTTTTTAGGGTGGTGGGTATAGTAAAAGAGGTCCTTTTCCAGTAAGTTTAGAACTTGAGAAGTCATATCAATATTATCAGCAATAAAAGATAAAGGGCATTCCACGAAACCCCCAAAGTTGAGGGGCTTATAGTTCCCAATCCGACCTACATGTAAACTCATTAGGAACAAAAAGTTTCAACGATAAAATAAACTACCGTATGTATAATTTGCACTGGTGCGTTTAGTTCGTGCTAAATAAGTTCTCTTTACATCTCCGAAAAAGCTTACGAATCTATTTTTCCTATGTATGTAACGGGTAACTATGAAAAGTTTCGTCACCTGCCATTTCAGCCAATGACGCTCACCAATCCCCCATTTTCCATGTTCCTGTCTGCCCTTTACCTGACCCCCGCACGAATCCTCATATTGATCGAGATCAGTCCACCGCCATCCTCGTGTATCACTTCCATCGTCCAATAAAATGGTGCCAGCTGTAGTCCATCGGGGAACCGCTTTCTCGTCCGCAGCCGAACCGCAACTACGGCACCGACATCCGAAGAGCGATTCCTTCGAACGCGTCACTCTGTTGCCGCTGTTATGAAATCATCATTTGTTAATAGTCATTTGCAGCAGCTGTTGCATCCCACGTTTCTGCTAGTTTCTCCCGCTTTTTTTCTTTTTTCGTCCTTTGTTCCGCTCCGTCGGCCTCATTTCACCAATAGACTACCAACATCGCCGCTCACATCTTTCCTTCTCGTTGATGCCGTGTTCTCCCGATTTCCGCTGTTCTTCGACACCTCTCCGTACCGTCTCTTCGCGAGGATTGCCCTGTTAGCTTCGAGTCCTCGTCCCTTATTGCTCCTTCCCTCTTTTGCCTCGGCGGCCACATAGCGTTCTGAAAACTGCCTTGATCTGGTTGGGAATCTGACCCCGACTTGCGATGTCGGCTGGTGCCAGCTGTTGGTTCCCACGCGGGCGCTTCTGTGGCCTGTTACAACGAGAGACAGCGGCCCTACCCCACAGCACATCGGACAATGCATGTCGGCTCACGGTATTTGGGGGTCTAGCAGCGATCGGATGTTGCTGGTAGTTTGCTGGTAACAGGATTGCAGAGGTGCCGAGTTTTCCATAAGCAGGTTCTTGCGGCGGGGAACCAGCGAAAAGTGACTTTTGAGGAGCAGCAAAAGAGTGCGAAGTATTAGACGCGGATGTGTAAATAGGGCTGTGTAGGGAGGCCCAGGTAGAATCACAGGAAATATTGCGTATAAAGCCGTCTTGTTGAAGTTTACATTGTCATAGCTGCTGTTGTTACGGTCGCTGATCGCACGCGCCTTGATCGCGATGACGCGCGAATGCTTCCGAGCATTCGTAAGGGTTGCTGGTTTATAATGTCAAGGGCTGTTAACCCTCATCGTCAATATCGGCAGGGCGTACGTTTGTTTGAAATTGACTTTCGATACATCACTTTGGAAGTGAAGTTCATGTTTAGGGAACTCTCTCGGTTAGAGTGATGTCTTAGTTGCCTATGAACAGCTGGCTTAAAATTAACGAGTAGTCTCTTAAAAAAGTTGCTAACGTGACCAGAACTTTTAAGACAAAGCACGCTTCCCCTAAAGCCAAACAGGATACTAGGATGTACAGAGGCAAATATCGGAATGGCAAAGACGCAGGCTCATGAAAGAGACAGTAACATAGCCAGCCCAATAACGTACGAGGTATGATTGTAGTTTCAAGTGAACGTTATGGTAATGACCAAAGAGCGTGCTTAAGGCTACTTATTAGTTGTCCTTGCCATTGTATCACGTCGGAAGGAATTGCAGAGCATTGACTATATACAGTTTTCCGTCTGATTTCCTCTCAAGCGTTTGGCAAGTCAGGCGGAGATGGAGATTTGACTTAACACGCCACCAAACAAAGTTATCGACAAACTCCTATAACGCGTCAGTATGTGAAGTTACCTGGCAAATCGACCAACAAAAGTTGTTATTACGAGAACGTCGACAAAGGCTGGCAAAGGAGAAGTTTCGAAAAAAGAACGAAGCTAACTGAGATACATACATTACCGTGCAATTCGTTATCACACGCGGATGCAGAGGCGTAAAAGCAATAATACAAAGTAACAAAGGTTGATATGATACAACTGATTCGAATGTACCGGTTTATTTGAGCTAGATGGAACTCTCCGCGAGTGCGCGCATAACCTGTGGCTCCGATCGGCATCGTTTTGAGAGATGTCATGAATTATCTTCTTGTCCTGGTATAAGGTACCCTTAGCCGACTAGACACATAAAATGGGAAAAACGAAATGTCTTGGTTTGGGTCTATTTTTTACTTCGTCCTATAAGCGTGAATATAGACCACCTTCGATTATGTTGCGTAACGTCCAAAATAGAAACACGAGTCCGTGAATTTACCAAGAAAAAATTGTGCCTTTCATGAGTGTTTAACGGGAGGAGCCGTCCACATTAACCAGCTTGAATCAAAATTATCGTAGAGCGTACTTGATTGATTATTATAGTATAGGACGAGTCTTGTGGACGCCCAGCTTGACTTATAGAAGCTTTGGCAAGGTTTAATTCCCACTAATGTATAATCTTTTTTGTATAACCCTTTCAATGTGTTTAACGATTCTGCTGTTGTTGTTGCCGCTATCGCTATCGATACCGTTACCACCCTATCTTTATTGCTAAAAAAAGTTATATGTACGTTAAAAAGTCGCATGTTTGAGTTAGACTGACACAGTCACCACACCTCGTATGTCCGTTTCCCCGCTAGTTGTACGGATTTAAATAAAGACACTGTTTGTTTCAGCGGACCACCTTCACCGCTTTAATACTTTCCTTATTGCTGCTTCCATCGGAGTTTGAACTTTGGCGCCTTTTCCTGAACAACCACCCAGGCAACACTGACGAACGCTGTCAATCGCTGCCGGCTCCCCACTTACCAAAACAGGACGCTCACGGCGAGACTCCGTTTGCGCCTATTCCCCGTGCCAGAGCGTGTGAGCGGGAGGGTGCCCACCAGCGCGGCTGTTCGCGCAGCAGCTGCTGCCGCCTCCGCCACCGCCGTTGCGGGCCTCTGCCTTCGGCTAAAGCCTCAGCTTCTTGTGTCTTCAGCTGTCTGCGTGTGCCGATGATCCGGCGCCGGTGGCGCGACGGTCCGGATGGCCAGTCAGTGTGATGGGAGTGAGCGCATACAGTTCGCGCAGCCAACACAAAGCCGCGGCCCGTAGCGGCAGCAGCGGCAGCGGCTGCAGCCAGTGAGCCAGTCTCTACCAATTGGAAAGCAGTGGACCCGTCGTCTAGATGTCTCCCGTTTCGCTTTCGCTCGGAGTGCCCCCATCGGTTCGTGCAGCTTGTTCCCGGCCGATCCGGAACAGCGCACTAAGACACAGGTTTCAGTGGACTGCACAACGGACGCGGAGTATACCTATACATGAGTAGCAACGATACGACTACAACAGTGGACAGAGAGTTGGGATTTGACAAACCAGTTTCCGCGGGCAGACGAGCCACATAAGTCGAAGGATCGGAACGACGAACGCAACAAAACAAGCACGTCTGTTGTGGCGTTTCTATTCTGGCTGCACGGAGAAGCCGCGGCAACAACTTCGTCGCGCTGCTGCTGTTGTCGTTCCGCGATTCAGGGTATACGGCGACGTAGGTGACTTGTTGATGGGAAGGGGCAGATGCCGATTGAGCTCGTTGCCGCTCGCCAAGGTTGGGCTGAAGTCTAGACCGTACAGCCTGCGGCCCCCTTCCATAGTCAGCTGTCATCATCGTTTGTGACATTATACAGAGTCACCTCATATTGTCACGGAGAGTGTACGAGCTGTACCGACGGGTCGAGGCACGGAAAACTTCGTATAGCGGTACAAGTGCTGTAGCTGACTCTGCTGTTGACCTCTGAAGAGATCAGCATTAGCCGGGAAGAGAAAGCGGAAAGTAAGGCGCGTCTATCAGTGTGAGTGCACCTAGCCTGAAGAACAAAGTGAGGAAGTTACGGGACGGACTTCGCTAGTCGGCGGGTGTCAACGTCAACATGGAAACGACCGAGAATCGCGCAGCGCATGTGGAGGTAAGCTATAAGAACATATGCATAGGCAGATTATGGTACAAGCTGAGAGACTTCTCGATGAAATAAACATTGATGAGGCGAAGTCGGTTTTTAGCGTCGTGTAATGATGCACGTGCCTCACAAATCGGACTGATTGACCGAAGAGTACGGCGACTCACTAAACTGCGTTGCAGTGTGGTTCATAGATAAAATCGTCTTGTATTGATCAGACAACAATTCATCAATACTGATTTCTAGACGGCTCTCTTCTTGAGAGCTTGGGAACGCCTAATTTTTACGAAACCGATTAGCATCTGTATTCCGAGCTGCGTACACTGGGATGTAGTTGGACCTACCTAAGTACATCTCAGACGATAGCTACACTAGCCAATCTGAATGATTTTTGTGAACCACCCTTCGTTACATTCGATGAAGGTCTATAGAGGTCGCCCCGGGGCCCCGGTTGCCACTTTGGAATTTCAGCGGAGATTGGCCAACAAGTTCTCATATAAGTGCATGCGGACTCAAGTTTCGTAATTACTGATAGCCAACACTCAGCGCAATGATTTACGATGCAGCACAAGTCCCTATAGAATAAAGCAGTTGGTTCAGCAGTAACAATTACCAAGTCGTTTTTAGTATGGACTACAATTTTAGTGGACCTAATCCAAACGATTGCAAATTCTTCTAAGGCTCGATGAAGCCTGCCTGTACGGATTGTTATCTGCGAAACAAAGCGAACAGACACATGCAAGGCACAATTAGGCCTCGTCCCAGCCAGTAAAATGAACAGCTAAAACTTAGCTATGGAACGTTTTTCCAATTTTTATTCAACCGGACGCTGTAAGTGTACTGATAAAAATACAAATGCCAACATATTGAAATTGTATTTGATATAGACATTGGTCAGTGTGGGCATCTATGGTAAAACCTGCTGATTTCCGCTTGTTTATATCTACATATGTCTTCATTAAAATGGGCAAGAATTTACATGTGCTGTTGATTCTGAAGAGAAGTTACTTCCCTCCTAATCGGCCTCCCGGTTTCGACGGCTATACATTTACGCGGCAGTGACAAAGTAACGTCTAAAACACTACCCAACCGACGAAAACTGAAAAAAACTCGTAACGGTATCTATAGCACTCTACGAAGAGCGAATAAGAATCCGTTCCATGTCTTTGTTTCTGGGATTGATGTGTTGTCCATTGTTGAGTACAAGATAAGGTATTATCGTCACACTGATTTCCTCCCCCCTGTACTACACGCTGTCCACAGCAAAAAACTTGCGTTCTATTCTATTTCACTTGAAATGTTTCTTTTATATTCATCGCAAAAAAAGGTCCTATCAGCACTCGAAGCTCCCTGGATGCCCCCGTCTTTAGCTTCGTGTAAACACTGGACAGAAGCGGTCGCGTCAAATATTAATTATTGCAGTAACTTAGCAGATATATTTTTCAAATCGCTGCACAAAGAGCTTATAATTACTCTATTACCAGGGTAGCAAATAACTTTCGAATAAACATAGCAAGACTACCTTAAATATGTATGTATAAAGGCAATTGCGTGTTTCTTTGAGTGGTCGACAATCCTACCGTTATAACCACTCGCCTATGTGACCAATTTACATGTGTTTAGATATTTGTATGTTTGCGATTGCTACTCTTTTTAAATGAGCTGGGTAAGTTACAGGTGTACATTTTTAAGCTAAACGCAATTAGGCCGAAAAACCGTCTCTAGACACCAGCCATGGCAGTTTTTCGTTCTCTGTGCCGCCGAACAACGATGATACTTTCGGTATCCGTCAGGCTCGCTTCGGGCGATTGCATAAACAAGTGATCACTTGAGAGATTTTTGAAAAATCTGAGCGGGCCCCAGTCCGTCAAAGCGGCAGGCAGTTGCACTACCACTGTAATATCTCCGAGCTTTTAATAGATACCCATGTCCATATTTAAGGACTTCGAATTTGAGATTTAAAGCACGCACACATATATATTACCGATATTATTCAGCACCTGCGATTTAACATAAACGTTTAGGCATTTTTTTTTGCGCCTCGTGACTATCATGATTACAATACGAGGCTTGCGCACCATTCGGTCTAATAAACTTCACGATATTTTGTACAGTCTATATGCTGAAAGAAAAAGAGTATGCTTAAACCTCAGCCTTTCAGCCAGGTCTGGTCCTTTTGAATTGCCTCAGGCAACTCGGCCCTACCCTGTATTATTTCCCCAAAAATGTACTATATTAACTAATTGCGGCGCTTTTCAAACTGTAAAGGATAATTTTGAATCTCGTGCGTATCAAACTATAACGCCGCCGATCTGAGCGAAAGTCAAAATGAACTGAAGCCATTTTGAAGGCACGTCCATTGCGTACAATCGTCGTGTACCATGGTGTTGTGTGTCGGTGCAATGGTTTAGTGTCCTAGGTTTAAGGCTTGTGTGTAGACACATCTGGTTTTGCGGCGGAGACGTCCAAGCCGCCCTGAACTACTTCACGATGATGGAACAATCAAAAAGCTCAGCTTCGATGTTGAACAGAACAGTTTGAGGAGCAACATTTTCCCATAATAGGATCTCCACGTCGTCAACAGCGATGTTTCCTATAGACAGAGTTAGCAACATAGCGAAATCAGCTGTTGAAAATGAATCCAAATAAAATATAACAAATTCATACGTTGGGCTTATGTGTTAATATTTTCTACACAATTCGATAGACTGTTGATCATTCTGAGCGCTTTCTATCCAACGAATTATTGCCCGAAGCAGGCAGCCAAACACTGCAGGACAGCGTATTTGCTTGTTGGGTGTAACGTTACTATGTGCTATGTCTACTAGTTTCGTAGTCATGTGGGTCAAATATGCATGTTCGGGAAGGGCAAGTTGACGTCCTAACCGGAGACTATATGGGTTTCAGTCGATCTACTCGTGTACTAATGAGTGAATGTGTTCCGACTTCTGAGATAAAACAAGATGCCTTGTCAAAGTAAGAAAGAAAACGATCAAACCGCTTACACTGTTACGGCTTTAATGGCTCCATAAGAAAATCGGCTCCGAATCGAAAAGGCGAAAATCAGGGGGCTCCCATTCGTCGCTGCCCCGACCAGCAGCACGATTATTACGTCGTGTAATTCGGTTTTCTAATTGCTTTTTCTTTAGTTCAGTACCAGAGTGTGTGCATGTACCTAACTACTGCAAGCAGATGAAATAATAATAATAATAATAACTTACTACAATTCGTCTGTCTCCCACTAAAATTCGCCTTACCCACAAACCTAATTGATTTACCCGTTATCATTCGCTGGCCCACTTCGATAGGCGTACGTCCACCCTACGTGAGCCGTTCATCCATCTGATATTTTGGGGCAGAATGGGGCTAAGGAGGAGTAACGAGCAGGACGATGATTACGACCACGACCACAGGTGATAGCAACTCCCCTAGCGGCAAATACGCGCACCATCACATTTCGCGTCGATAGCCGCCGCCAATCGCAGCTGTCGCGGTAGCGATCGCGCGGCGGTCTCCTCTTTCCCAAATCTGCCCTCTCCTCTCTGGTCTGGTCGCTCCTGTGTTCGGCGCACCAGCCGTGAGCACCGGTCCTTCATGGCACACCAGTGGGAGCGAAGCACCCACAACCGGCGCTACAGGCAAGACGACGGCCGCAAGTCATTTCCTTTCCGCGGTCAATACGAGCGGATGGGAGCCGTCGTAGCAAGCGAGCAGCATCACAGCCATCATTGCTACCCCTACTTATCGTACGAGAGGGATCGAACAGTGGCGCTGTCTTCGTGCTTGTGACTGGGCATCAACAGCATCACAGTAGAAGGAGCGGGCGCTGCTCAAAGTACCTGTAAGGGCAGCAGCTGCCGGCTCGGCTCGTCGTAGCTGCAGCGAGGACGAACTGTTCGCTCGCAGTCACGAACAGCGCGTATGTTCGTTGTTCTTTCGTGGCGGCGCTCCATTGCGAGCGAACCGCAGTGAGCGAGTACGGAAACGCAGAAACGACATCCGTAGTCGTCGTCGTCTTTAGACCACAAGCGGCTCAGTGCCTGTGTCTGTGCACAAAATCGGCTAAATCAACGCGAACGCTAGCAAACGGTACAATTGCTTCTTGGTGCTTGCTTTTTCTATCCACCACCAACTGTTAATTGATCTCAAAATCGAGGCGATGCTGTCGATGACTGAAATCTGACGAAGACAGCAGTCTGGCAGCCGTGTTGTATTGCGATGTACACAGCGAAGTGTTCCGGTACTCATGTTGAAAGCTGTTAAAATATCTATATAGATGTAACAGCTCTTGCAGCTGAGAACAACCTGAATTAGTGCATTAGCAACCTATCCAGGAGTGTTGGCCCCATTCCAGCAAACGGAGCCGGTGCATAGTGGACGGTAGAATCAATCGGTGCCCACCTTAACGCCATATCGAGGAGTATTGTCTAGCGTGAAGTGAACGGTGAGGGAACGTGTGTTAAGTTTATCTTTAAGAAATAGATAAGACTCAAATTAATCTGTAACACACGTAGTAATTTCGATCCTAACTCGTTGGTGCGATCATCGAAAAGGTCATTGGTGTCATTTACGTGTATTCTGTGTTACGGACCTGGTATTACTCTCGCCAGTACCCTCTGTGCGCCTAAACTTACCAGCGATACGCATGTCTAACAGAAGGATCAGCACTAGACAATAAATGTAAGCATGTATTTCGAGCTGAATAAATCTATAGCATACGCAGGTATACGCGTCCGATCAGTTGTATCCGCTATCCAATGACTGGCATATATCCACGCGGGCAACAAACTGGAAAAGCCAAACTGCCGTCACGGTTCCTTATTTGCTATTTTTTCATTAGCAAATATACTTGCATATAATAAAAAAAAATTATGCATATATACAAAATTTGTCAGATGTGTCTATCCCTTGACGTAAACATGATTCTGTCTATGAAACATCTTGCAACCTACCCAGCGGCAAGCCTTTGTTGACCATCACACATTAGTGGAGATCCATCAACAAAATTACAACCAGCCATGGAGGTGGTAGGTGACAATCGAAAAAACTAACGCAACGCCAATAAGAAACCTGTCGACGTAGCTTACTAGAAGACTTTTGGGGATTGACTACTGCTTCTTCTTCTTGTGAAATAGACGTAGCCAGTGTCTGCCAATCTGACTGTGTATTTGTGTGGGGAGGGGTGGGGGGGGGGTGTCTGTAGCAAAGAAATGGTTCGGGCGAAAAGACGACATTTGTAGCACACCATAGTGAGCAGATGGCTTGAAGAAGTTCGGCCCTTGCATCTGTCTGTAGCTATAAGTTGTTGTAGTTCAATGGAGAGCTGGTTAAATATGCACTAGGTAGAAGGTAAGAGGCTATAAGGGGGAAGGGGGGTGCTAGTAGTGGTCGAACTGGTCGCGGTGGTATGACACGCCCCCCCCCCCCCCCCTCCCCGGCGGCGCTGAGACGACGGAGCCTGGGCGTATCTTTAGAGTTGGCGTCTACCTGTCACAGTGCACAAGTTGCTTTCTCTCCTTTAGGCGAAGCAACTGACAATAGATTGAAAGGAACGCTTAACTCGCCTTGTGGTTTTCTTTCTCAGGCAAATTCAGTATAGAAAAGCAAACTGGCTTTATATAAGGAACACGGAAGCGTTTGTTTGCGTTCAACTAAAAGAACTTTCGCAAAAAACATTTAAATACAAATCAGCTGAGTATAGTCTGCTCCACGAATGTTTGTTATTCTTTTTGTCGAACCCAGTTCGATGTAGAGTTAGAAAAACGAATCCTGAGGATCACCAACTGGAACTTGGCTGAGATAATCACGAGCATTCTGTTAACAAGCAGTCCCCCACCAAAAAGATACAGCTCAACAGAACTAGACCAAAATCCTAATAAATAACGGGAAACAGACAAGCACAATCGACCAAAGACAACGAGTGTGAACAGCTATAATGTGTCGTGATTACAGTCGAAAGTCGCCAAGGACTGTCTGTTTTTTTGTCGTCCGCCACAAAAACACGCACAGCTATACATACAGTATATCGCCATTATACCATGTCACTACAGATGCCTCAGTAATCTGATGCTTGTCAGAGCTGGTTGCCTGCCTACGTACCTAGGTGTTGTCTAGCGAGACAGGCAACGAAAGTTCGACTAGCCACAACCAGAAAGCCACCGATTAGTTTTTGTTTGGGAGTTGCCTGTCTATTTATTGGATAGAGCAGAATCGCAGACGAACACTCCCTCTTACGGTATTATCACGAAACGTAGCGGCTGCTTATCTAAAGACGTTGTATGCGCCTTCCTCTATGCACATGTTTAAGGTAGTCAGCCAACAGCAGGGGGTTCTGCGGAATGATAGAATGATGAAACGACGTTTCCCAATAGTTGGATTCAAATGTGCATATGCTCTAGCTGGCCCAGAATATCTAATATTGCCTCATTGACCCTTAGGGGTGCCGCGGCCCAATGCCACATACGTGGCATCAAGGCATTAAGAATATCAATGGGACGAGCAGGGCGTACGCCTATTACTATCTACGTATTGTAGTAGAACAGCCGATAAATGCATAGTACAAATTGAGCCAAGAGGCCAAAACGGGCTTTGGACAAAACCCATGTATCTCGTTGTGTTTTTTGCATGCTGCAGCTGCTGTCCGAGTTAGCAGCTATTTGTCGTCGTGGGCACAGGGCAGATTTCAACCTGGTGCCAATGGAGGGCTTCGCCCATATCGAAGTAACGTTTTTTATTCTTTGCCTCGAATTGTTTGGCCAGCGTCACGTATCTACGACGATGGTATTGTTATATCGGTGGACGCAGTAAGGCAGTGGTTAAGGGCGTAGCAGGAAAAACGAGGAAGAAGCTTGCTTACCTGCACGGCTGCTAACTTCTATTGCGACCAAAAAGGATTCGACCGTTTTGACTATTCTCTGCTTTTGTTCATTGCTTTGCTCAAGCGATGCCGTCTTTGTTATTCTTGTGGTTGTCGTCGATTTAGGCTAGCCTTTCTCGAACCGAAACGTCGTGCCAAAAGTAACTTACTACCTATTATTATACTATTTATCAAATCAGACGAGGAAAGAGGACCATTACAAATCTGTCGACTGAACGTTCATGACAAGGCTCCCTCGTGCACGGCGGCGTATGTGATCTCTGTCAACTGTTAAACTCTGTGCAGAACTTTAGCTACGATCTCAGTACATGCAGAGCCTAACTACATTGGCTGGCCGGTCTGTAGACGCATTCTGAAATCTAGTTGACTATACTTACCGCAAATCGAAATCTGAGCAGGGCACCGTGTTCTCGATTTCTCATGGACTGCATAGCTACAAAGCATTACAATCAACATTTATAGCTATATACCGACCCGTTAGCGATCTGCAAACATAACGATTTATGCCGAGTACGGGAAAGCTACTCCGCAAATGTAAGACTGCCTGTCAGACGTGTCAACACATCGAACTAATACGAAACTCCTCATGGTAACTAGGGTTACCTTGAAACTGCACAGAAGAAGCTTAACATCCACAAAGACAGATCGAAAATTATCGAATTTTTTTGGTTCACAGTTGAGAGTGAAGCTCTATTAGCGGTGTGCAAAATGCTCATTTCGATAATAGTAATAGTAACAGCAACTCAGCGACTAAATTGCGAACGTGTTCAGCGACTAAATTCAGAACGGACCGGCTAAATAAGAAGCAACCTGCATATAAAAGACATGCGACTGCTGTTTAGAGAAAAAAAAAGGTCAAATAATGCGTTATCTATTTAAATATTTGACGCACTCGAACACCATTCATTCTGTAGAACGGCAGTATAAACCCACTACTTGCTCTATTTATAATATAATAGTTTAGGAGAGTAACGATTATATTTTGTCTCATGCCTGTCTTCAGCGACACATCTTCTGTGCGGACTATAACAATTGCCCGGCCCTGCAAGCGGTCATACCACGTCTCCGTGTCCTGTTGGCCTATAGCTTATTGTATATAGCCATACTCTATCTGTTATATTTGTTTTGCTTTGAAAATTATGGCCTAAACCGAAATGTATAAATGAAACGATCGCCAACGGTGAATTATGTCGAGACCACCATCGTAACCGTACTCCCGCCATAACTCACATAACGAACAACGAGCACGCACAAACATTTGTATGGGTCCAGCCTTCACATGAAAACAATTGAATAAGTGTCTGCGCAGCTGCCCTTTTGACTCAGGAAGCTGCTATAACCTCTATGGCACACGAGGACATCGAGGATGTTTGACTATGTCCGTATACTGATTGAGCTTCAGTTGCCGAGTAACCTATTAAAGCTCTGAACAGTCATCGGTCCCCAGATATGTATGTATACTATGTCATTTCATCCTTATAGGATCACCCATATACGTAACGGATGTACTTCGGATGAGAAAGGGAAAATAGATGCTTTGGGTAGCACGAGCGTATCCATCGTAAGAGAAAAGCTTGGCAGCGGGCTTCGCTTAAGCTCCCAAAAGTCTGAAGCTCTCTGAACCTTTCGTCGACTTGGCAAGCTGCATCAAAGATCATGACTTCCGCTGTAATCTCCGGAACAGCCCAGCCTTTATCTGGTCACCCCTGTCGACTTCCTCGCTTTCTCGTGATATCGTACGCTTCCTTGTAAACCCCCTCATCTGCCCCACTAGTTTACCCCCATCAACGGCCCCTTCCCGACCCAATAAGACTCTTGCGTTCTTTTTCCTCAATCGTCTCCTCCTTTTCTTCACTTATGCTTCCGTTACTTAGCAACCCCCTCGTCCTAGCTTGGTGGGGGCGGTTCTTCCAAGAAGCACCGCACTCGCCATGGCGACTATATCATTCGGAGATGGGTCACCCGGTTGCTGGTACGCGTGCCACGTCTCCTCCATTGTCATTTGTGGTAATTCACGCAGTGGTACAGGCAAACGGGGTCTAAAAGCCTCCACATCGAACGAACCTCTGCGCGCGACACGCTGCCAAGAGCTCGGTTCAGAGCGTATGAACAAGGAATAAGCTAGTGAGTCATCTTGCCCCTCGGGATTTTAGCTCCGACAGGGAGACGCGGTGGTCGCGAACATCCTGACAACATCGAGTTCATCCACTCCCTCTTTAGCGTAGTTTGCCTCTCCCTCTCATATGCACTAGTCACGATCTCCGGCACCATCTGGCGCGCTCTTGAACTCGAGATTATTCGAAGACAGTACACACGCAGGCACACGGGCAGACATAGCCTGAGTTTGTCCCAAAACTTCCCCAAAGTTGTGTGTAAGTTTTCGTTTGTATATAGCGACGTAGCGGCCCCTAGGCGCTCTCCATATCGGCCGAGGGCCGCACCTGTTCAATTGGATTCGCCCCTTCTCGACTCAACCCGGTTCGTTCCACTAACACTAATACCACTCGTGCTTTACCTCATTGTAGGTTTCCATTGGCATAGCTTCTTTTCAGTGCCTGCTGCATTGGCTCCGTCATTACTCGTTCGTGATCAAGCCTGCTTCGTCCAGTGTACACACAGACGACACGTACTATACCAACACTCATTCATAGCCATGCGTACGATGCTGTGTTCGGCACTGGTGTTAGAGCTACGCCGTGGTAAAGGAACATTGCTTTCCATTCATTGCATTTCTAAGCTCAGTCTTGCGTTGGATGCTCGTATACAGTTGTACATTGCCTTCTGGCACCTGGACCAAGGCGGA